GAGAGAGAGAGAGGGAGAGGGGGCTTGCGGGTAGGTTATAACAGACGGAGGCAAAGGAATGGCCTGTCAGTATAATACCGCAGGCTTCAGGCATGGCTGATGGCGAGATGATACGAGGGCGTGTATCCAGAGGACGGGGGACGGTATTTCTTACTGTCCATAACGTGGCGAGGAGGAAGGGAGCATAAAATCTCGGCGTGCTTCTCGGTGATGTTATCTGGCAACTCAGGCAGGTTGGAGCAGGTGAATGATGGCCTGGGCAGGGAGGTAATAGGTACCTCCCTCTGGGCGGCCTGCTGCATGTACTAGACGAGAAGAGGGTGTTCCAGCCCGGGCAAAAAAGAGATCTGCAATGCAGCGGGTGCAGAGTGCATTGTAGATCACCAGCGTCCTTCAAACTGACAGAGGCGTGGAGCAGTCTCCTCGCTCTGCTCCTTGGCGCCCGCAGGAACCGGACAAGAGACTGATGGGGGCTGAAGTAGAGCTACGGCCCGGGCGTGCGTCTACCTAGGATGCAGCCAGCTGCATCCGAAACACAACATGCATCCGGTAATCATCCCTGCCTCCTAGTGGCTGATGGGCAAGTCGAGGAGGGGAGGGGTGACTCTCCACCGAGGATTGTCGTTCGTCGAGGTCATTCGCCACACTTTGCTCGCATCACACACAAGCCACAACTGCTCGAATAACCGGTTTCCTGGACACCCACTACATGGGCCCCCGGGTGCGCCTCGTCCGAGGCCACTGAGACCATGCCGTCAGAAACGCAGCTGATGCATGGCTAGCCGATGTGGGCGACGACGAGCTCTCTCGTGGACCCCCCTCCTTCATAAGACAGATGGCTACTACGTATAACGGCATCGGCAATGAAGTCATACACTTACAAGGGATCCAACGTCCAACGTAGAAGGTCTTCTAGTGCAGGTGGCGGCATTGCTCCTGTCACACAAGAAGTCCTCGAGCGGGGAAGTCGAACATGGACGCAGCAGATGGGAAGGGTATCCCAGCGCCTTTGAGATCAACTGAAAAGCACCCGACCTATGACCCGTGAAGCCTTCCGCCTACCAGACTTTACCGTGACGTAACTCTTGGACCCTTTGATGACGTTTACTACTCTACTTCCATTGCCTTACATTTATCCGTCGTGAGGGTCCCGGTCAACTTATGCGGATGGGGATATAAGGCGGCTATCTCAGTGGCACAACGATCAACTGGGCTGTCCAGTCAACCATCAAATCACCACCAATCCTATCTTCACTATTGTATAAACACACTTGACGATACTTTTGAATAAACCAATCAGTCTTCCACCTAGGAAGTAACCACTGTAATTGGCCCCTATCGTAGCATACGCTTTCCCAAGATTCCGAACCACAGAGGTCTCGCGCTGGCAGCCAAGACTGTAAAGTGCCTGTGTTGCTGCAACCTCTGCAACATCCGCCGTCGACACCACGACAGCACAAAGGAAGAACCACAAGACGACTCCAGCAGCATGGCCGAGGCGGCGCACTCACCGGCGGCGCGGTCGCCCTGGGAGAAGCCCCGAGGTGTAGGCGCCTACCCCGACGGGGAGGACAACTACTTCCGCGACTCAGACCCCAAGCGCAAGCAGCAGCAGCAGCAGCAGCGGCAGGGAAAGGACGCGGCCGAGTCCATGATGACCAACGGCGCCGGCGTGGCCCCGTCCATCGCCGAGAGCGACTACAAGTCAGCCATCCCCGAGGAGTCGCTGGACGGGGACCACTACACCACCGACGGCCTCAACGTGCCCGCGGAGGAGCTGTCGCCCGAGGACGCCGTCGACAGCAAGAACGAGAGCAGGGCCGCCTCGGCGGTCGGCCTCGACGCCAAGGCCCCCAAGGGCGGCGACCAGAAGACCGAGGCCGGCGGCGCACCGCCGAGCAGGATGGGCATCAAGAGCGGCGAGGACGCCGAGCCTAAGCAGAGGCAGGCCGAAGACGAGGCTGCAAGCAAGTCCGGCACCAAGGTTGACGACAAGGTCCAGCCGGACGAGGCTGCGCAGCCAGACCTCCAGGAGGTCGAGCCAGAGCCGATTGCGGAGGGCGTCGAGCAGGCTCAAGAGAAGCCTGCCGACGCCGCCAAGGTCGACGAAGAGCAGGAGAGGCCCGCCGATGCGGCCGGCATGACGGGCTCTACCGTCAAGGAGGGCGTGAGCAAGGTCGGCTCTGCTGTCGGCTCTGCCGTCGGTGCGGTGGGCGACGACGCGTCCAAGCAGGGTGAGGAGAAGGTGGGCGAGCCGGAGGCCCAAGTCGGCGAAGCCGCCGAGGAGGCAAAGGACAAGCTCGACGAGACTGCCCAAGACGCAGAGGCTAAGCTGGACGGCTCGGCCGAAAAGGCGGACGAAACCGCCGAGGAGGCCACTGACCAAGCAGACTACAGCATCCTCAAGGGCGGCAAGGTCAACAAGGGCGGCAACGTCGTCGACGGCGAGGGCAAGGTGGTCGGGCGCATCAGGGAGGGCGTGCTTGGGCACCTGGTCGGTAAGCGCGTCGACGAAACGGGCGCCATCTGGAACGACAGCGGCGCCGTCATGGGGCGGGCCGAGCCCATCCCGGCCGACGAGCTCGAGTCCATGACCAAGGCCTCGGGCCCGTTCGAGGCCTTCCCCGACGCTGTCGTCGACGCCAAGGGCATGGTCGCGTTCGAGGGCGAGCTCGTCGGCAAGGTCGTCGAGGGCGACGCCAAAAAGCTGCGCGGCTTCAAGGTCGACCCGGACGGCGACATCCTCGACCGCGCCGGCAACGTGGTCGGCCGGGCCGAGCGCTGGGAGGAGCCCGAGCCCGAGCCCGTGCCCGAGGAGGAGCCCGAGCCGGAGGCGGACCGGTCCGTCCTGGCCGGCAAGCGCGTCAACAAGGCCGGCAACGTGGTCGATAGCAGCGGCACCATCTACGGGCGCGTCGTCGAGGGCGACGCCAAGCGCATGGTCGGCCGCATGTGCGACAAGAAGGGCAACGTGCTCAGCGAATCGGGCGACGTGCTGGGCCGCGCCGAGGTCGTGGCCGAAGGCGAGCGCGAAGGGTCGCGGGAGGGCCCCTTCGCCGAGCTGTCGGGCCTGACCGTCACGCGCGACGCCAAGGTCGTCACCCCCGGCGGCGACGTGGTGGGCCGCCTGGTCCGCGGCGACGCCAAGGCGCTGGCCGGGCGCGCCGTCGACGAGGACGGCGACGTGGTGGACAAGAACGGCAACGTGCTCGGCTCGGCCGAGCGCTGGGAGGAGCCCGAGGTCGAGAAGCGCTCCAACCCCATGGCGGGCCGGCGCGTCAACCGCGAGGGGAACGTGGTGGACCAGGACGGGAACCTGGTCGGCAAGCTGACGACGGGCGAGCTGAGCGTGTGCTCGGGCAAGGAGATCGACGCCGACGGCGACGTCGTCGACGGCAAGGGCAACACCGTCGGCCACGTCTCGTTGCTCGCCGACATCCCGCCCGAGCCGGCCGAGGAGGAGGAGTCGGCCGAGGACAAGGCCAAGCGCGAGCTCGACGAGAAGGACAAGGAGCTGGCCAAGCGCATGAGCATCGCCCTGACGCAGGTGCTCGACAAGATCAAGCCCATCTGCGATATGATCACGAGGGTACGTCTCCAACACCTCTTGTTTCCTTCCTCATGAAACCTATTACCACACTCTTGCTTGTACAGCAACTAATGCCCACAACAGAAGATCGAAAAGGCCGACCGTACCCCCAAGGAGGAGCTGGACGAGGAGGAGCTCGTGCGCGAGGTCCGCCCCCTGATCGAGGAGGGCGGCAAGATCCTGCAGGAGGCCAACGGCGTCATCCGCGGGCTGGACCCGGACGGGCGCATCCAGGCCAACGCCAAGCACAAGGCGGCCACGCGCGACGCCACGCCCGAGGAGTACCACCTGGCCGACATCCTCAAGGAGCTCACGGGCACCGTGTCCAAGTGCATCGACGACGCCAAGAAGCGCCTCGAGGGCATGCCGCACGCCAAGAAGGAGCTCAACCCGCTCTGGGGCCTCCTCAGCGAGCCGCTCTTCCAGATCCTCGCCGGCGTCGGCCTGCTGCTCAACGGCGTGCTCGGCCTCGTCGGCCGCTTGGTAAGTGCATGGACGCTTCTTATATTATCCAACTAGTGTGTCTGATGGCTAACGTGAACTGTTTTCCTTGCAACAGCTCAGCGGCCTGGGCCTCGGCGGCCTGGTCGACAGCCTTCTAGGTGGCCTGGGCGTGAAGCAGATTCTCCAGTCGCTCGGAATCGGATCCCTGACCGATGCATTGACTGGAAAGAACCAGAAGAAGAAGAGTGGTGGCCTTCTCGGTCTGGGTGGCTAAATCAACCATTGGTTGATGGATTTAGTGTGTGCTTTACGAGCTGTAATGCTTTGTTTTGGGATTTGTGCTATCAGCATTCTAATCGTTAATGACGAAAGGCAAAAAAAATCCGGGGTGGTGGGCTCAGGAAATGGACACGAAAACGAGGGAGGATATATTGAAAGTCTTTATTTGCCAGCTATTTATTATATGTAATTTAGCAATATGATTATTTGCGCACCAACAAATACTAGGATTTACCAATATTGATACACGTCGACGTGATAGGTGATGCAAAAAAAAAAAATTGCGATCCTCCTGCCGTCCTTTGGAAGCCAAAAAGACTGATTCGACCGAGGCTCGAACTCAGGACCTTGTGCGTGTGAGGCACACGTGATAACCAACTACACCATCGAACCAATCATGGAGCCTTTGGGTGCCTTCGGCAGGATATATGGCAGGGGACTGCGTAACTAGCAGGAACGATACTCCGTTGCTCCACTAAAAAGTTTCCCACCCCGCGCGAAAAGATCCGCGTCAACTTTCCAGCCCTCAGTGCTGAAGATCGAAGCGACGACAATTTCGGCAGCAACTCAAGGCCCAGCCATCCAGCCCATCCCCAGGCCTAGCCGCATCCCGAACCTATCACTTCGAATCCGCGACCCCCGCCAAGATGCCTTCGGTCAAGAACCCCAACAAGCCGTCCAAGAACCGGCTGGCGGCCCGCGCCGCCAAGGTGCGCAAGACGGCACAGAAGAAGTCGGCCGAGGGCAAGCTGTCGCGCGTCGAGAAGGCCGCAACGAGGCGCGGCGCCAGGCCCGGCCTGCTGCCGACGAGTGGGCCTGGCGCGCCCGTCAGTGCAAAGAAGCAGCGCAAGCTGGACCGGAAGCTGAACCACGCCCTGAAGCGCAAGATGGAGGCCGAGGGAGAGGTGGAGATGAAGGGTATGCTTTTCCCCTTAATTATATCGTGATGCTTCTCCAGGCGCCCCTCTAGAGGCTAACTAGTCGATGTGCGATCAGATATTCCCGAGAAGAAGGCATTCACCGCCGCTACCAAGGGCGAGGCCGCAAAAGCAGCCGATGATATGGAGCTCGATATCTCATGAGACGCTGGAGGGTGCATCCGCGGAGGAGTTTAGCCGACAAACAGACAAAAGTCTGTCATGACGGCTGTTCTCTTATTTTCCAGTCGAGAGAGAGCTGGAAGAAGCTGGCTCAAGCTCAGTTCCCGGACACAGGCCTGGGCTTCAAAAACCCCGTCCAAATGGAAGTCATGAGCTTGCTCGTCACAACACTGCAGCTTATATACCCGAGCTTGGTGGGAGCAGCGACCCCTCGAGCGGAAGAAACGCTCGCACTGTTTGCGAGGGCGGCGCCAGCTGGCAATGGGCAGCCATGACGGTATCCATTGGCCACCACCATTGTGCCATGTCACTGAAGAGATACCACGAACGCGGCGACTATATCAAGCAGATACGCGCTTAATTGACACTGTTCCTGAGTCGTCTTGGTGCAGGCTCTGTCCTCTCCGTTTGTTCTACGGTCGTGCTCCCTCATGCTGGTGGTGCGGCTACTCGAGAAATCGTGGCCGTGGAAAGAAACGTCCGCAATATGGTTGGTCGCCTATAGCCGGCTAAGTCGGTATCCCCTCGTCGAGCACTGCCCCCACGGACTGGCCACGGAGCAATCTCTGTGGCAATCGGCAAACAATACGTGGTACCAGGCCCAAATGGAGCCACTCTACATTGCAACCTGCGCATTTATCCGCTCCCTGCAACGAAAAGGGCCTCTTGGTACCCATACCACGGACTGTGGCTCGACAAACGACCATGGCCTCTCCCCCATATTAAGCAGTATGTTCTATGGTGGCTAAAAGCACCAGGACGGGGACAGAAGTGGTCCTCCACATTACTAGTGTCATATTGGCCCGCCTCACCTCACCTGCCCCAGTGTTCCCCTTTCGGCTCTGTTGGTCTTGTTCCTGATCTGGACCCGCTTGGGGTGCCCGCCTCATATCGCCAAGCTATCGGTCGGAAAAGACTTGCGTCGGCAAACCCTTGGTCGCATGCTTGGCGGCCACGGCCGCCTCTGTAAACGGCCGCTATCTGCAGCTCGCCTCATTACGCGGCGGGCGGACCAGCCTTTTCCAGCACCGGCCATGGCGCTGCCGCTCCAGTGTCCCGGTCGCTACAACCTTGTCGCCGACCGACCTTTCCATTTCCTGCCGTACTCCGCGTCCACTTGTATCTTGGTCCCTTTTGAACCCATGGTTTCCTCTTTTTCGAACAATCCTTTCCGCTGCCCTTCTGGTTCTATCGAAAATCCCCGGTCGTCTCTCGCTAGTAGCCTGCAAAAGCCCCCAGGAAGTGATATGGGAAGCGTGGTCATTGCGGTCGTACAGTACACTCGCTTATTGAAGGGAGCAGAAAGCCCGATCAAACGGGATTGGACCACAAACGCCGACCTTGGACAATACAGCCATCCACACACCCCCTGCATCCATCCAGGTGTCTAGGCCCCAAGCAAAAGGAACCTCGGCCGCCCGCCATCTTCCCGGCCGAGAAACAGTGCACCGTCGACCACATACTTCACCACATCCATGTCCAAAATGAGATGCAAATGGGCGATTTGCTTCCTGCTGGGCCTCGGCCTCTGCGCCGCCATCGACCAGCGGCCAATGGACGACTTCGGAAGCAGCTGCGACCCCAGGTCCATCAAGGTCGACGGCCGACACGCGACGGCCGTCTGCAGGACCATCCTGGGCGACCTTCGATGCTCCCGCGTGGACCTGACCGAATGCATTAAGAACAGCTACGGATCCCTGCAAGCTGACCCTAAAGAGTCTGGGTAGGTCGTCGTCTTCCATTCCCGGGGGAGGGGGGCAGCGCGGAAGCATGCCGGCCGCCGTCATTTCCTCTCGCAGCGTACTAACCCATGCTGCCATTTGTTCGTTGGAACCAGACCGTCATTCTTCCAAGAGTGCTTCAACTGCAGCAACAAGCCGCAGACCGGAGGCCTTGCCACCAGTGCCCCGACCTTTCTGCATTGCCAGTGCGATCCCAAAACTGGGGCTCCGAGATCGAACTGGCCGGCGGCCGTAATGGACATAAGTTGGTCATCCCTTTCCCTCTTCTGCCATCCTCCCTCCCGCTTCATGTGGTGCCCTAACCGAAGGTACTTCCTCAATCCAGATACGGTAATCGACAACATTGACGGCATATTGCAATGCAATGGACGGCATGGCATGTTGTGGCATGGGTGTTAGTATTTGTTATAAGTGCCAAGTCGAATAATCAGAACTGAATGCGCAAAGATGCCATGCGTGGAGTCCTCCACGGAATTGAGTTTTCGAGAATGCACTGGGGGCTGCCCGAAAAAATTAATTATGCCATGTAATTATATTTAAGCAAACTTGAAGTTACGGTTATAAGCTGTGATGGGAACCTGCCAGAGGAATGATTTCGTAGTTGAACTCTCCGCCACCAATGATATCAAGCCCCGAAGCTCTCAAAATAGGTTAGAGCTATGTCTTGTGGCTTCTATGTAGGTAGGTAGATAGTTAGGTAGCCACGTGTTGTACGTGTTAAAGCCGCACGCGGGGTAAGGTGTACAGGCCGACACCAGAGCCAGAGCTCACACGGTTAAATAAGCAACTTATATTCCTTTGTGTGCTGTATAGATAGTACCCGAGCCGCCGAGCACCACTTCTCCACGCGCCCACGCTCACATTGGTGAAATTCTGGAAAGCCACTGAATCTCACATGTGCCTCGAAGCTAGGAGATGGCGATCTTGACCCGCGCGGGGCCAGTCTTGGTCTCGGCCACAATCAGCTCGTAGTTGAACCTCACCCCGCCCCGCCGTCGTCGAGCAGCCACCGGTCCGGCCTGAAGCCGTCCGGGTCCGGGTACAGGTCCTCGTCCCAGTGGTTGATCCACGGCGTCATGCTCACGGGGGTGCCGCGTGGGATGACCCAGTCGGCGCCGCCGCCGTCGCGGCTCTTGTACACGAGGTCCTCGTCGCGGGCGATGCGCGCGGACCGCGGCGCCACCCCGGGCATCATGCGCAGGCCCTCGTGCACCACGGCCCACAGGTACGGCCGCTTCTCGAGCTCGACCCACTTGAGCGTCTCGGGCGCCATGTCCTCGAGGTCCTGCTGCAGGCGCGCCAGGATGTGCGGGTTGGCCAGCACGTGGTAGGAGATGACGGTCAGGGTGGCCGCCGTGGTCTCGGTGCCTGCGATCAGGAGGGCGAACCCCTCGGCGCTGAGGCGCTGGCCCGCCGCCGCGGCCTTGGACTTCTCGGGCGCCTGCGTCTTGCCGCGGGCCAGCTCGGCGAAGAGGCGGTTGTTGGTCGGGTCCGCGACGGCGGCGCGGATGTAGCCGGGGATCACAACGTCCATGTGGTGCAGCAGGTTCCGGGTGTCTTCGCTTACGTACTTGGCCAGCATCGGTAGGTACTCTGATGCCTTGCGTAGCAGGAATTTGTGCCTCATCTGTGGTCCGTGTCGGCATCAGCAAACCATGCCGGGATGGACATGTACATTCTTTCTTTCCGTCATTGTGTTTACCTGGAGCGGCATACATACCACGTACGTGAGCTTCTGATGGGACTGCGTCCAGATTGCAATGTTGGGCTCCCACCCCTCCTGCGCTACGAATCCCATGGGCTCGCCAAAGCAGTGGTTGGAGATTATGTCGCCCCGTGAAGCACTGAAACGCGCTGCCGAGATTTAACGGCTCGCCCCCGGCGGACCGGAGCATCTTGTCGACCGCCAGCTGCGCAAAGTCGAGCACCTCGCTCTCCAGCTTCAGTATCTGCGAGCGGCTGAAGAAGCGGCTCATGGGCGACCGGCGCGCGCGGTGGAGCTCGTGCGGGGTTGCCGCGAAGCTCGCGACGGCCGCGTTGCCGGGCGCGACGGCGTCAACATCTGCGAGAAGGGGACGGAGGGAGGCTATTACTCTGACTTCATATCTGCCTGCCAGCAAACCGCCAGGATACTGAGACTTGCAGCGTTGAGTACAGTCTCTGATCCTCCCCGAGCCCGCGTAGATCTCGTCGGTAAAGGCCGAGTCGCAGCAGTGCAGCTCGCCCGGGCCGATCCTGACCAGGGGTCCGTAGCGCTCGTGCATCTGCTTGACGGCCTTGCTGTAGCGGCCCACCAGCCGCCAGTCGTAATAGGCTTCGTACGCGCACGTTGCTGCCGCGAGCTTGGGGCCGGGGAAGCGGTACAGCGGGTGCAGCGGCGAAATGTTGTATAGCATCACAAGGATCTTATACCCGAGCCAAACCGCCGCCAAAAAACCGACGGAAGCTGGCGAAAGCACAGCTCCCGCCAGGCTAGGCAGGGTCCACGACTCGGTTAAGATCATGGACAAATTTTGCTCGAAGAGAACACAGCACTGAGGCTGTGAAAGCAGTCGTTATGGAATGATGCTTCTTCCTTGCCTTGGAGGATTGTGGCCGAAGGGAGGCAACGTGCTTTATGTGACTTCATTATATGTGACTTGATCGATGGCCAGACTCGTCGGCTACTATCTCGCCATGCCGGCGCCGCGATGAAGAAGCAAGAGGAGGTACCCCGCCTGTGAAAGCATGCCTACCGAGGACGAAGCCGGTGAAGGGCCCCTTCGTCGCCGTGAATCAAGCTTCTCAAGTCCTTGGGTCTAGCTAGGCGGCATGCAGACGTTGCCAATGCCGCCATTGGACAGCCGGCAGTAGGTCGGGCAGTTGGGTGCGCGTGGCGCTACGACAACAGATCAGATATTGAACTCGCGTCCCTCCCCCCTAAAGCTTAGCCGCACATCTCGTGGGGAGCTCCCGTCCACGAGTGGATCGCCGGGAGGCCGAGGAGCGCGAGCTGCCGCTCCCGTTAATCCTAAATGAGAAGCTCCTCCTTTGGAAGGGACGAAGTTCCTCATATCTGAGGGGAAGCGATCGGCATGAGGAACCCACACCCACCGCCCCGGCGGCAACCGCCGACGGGGCTCGGGAGGACAGTCGAGCAACCCAGGGCGGAGCCGAGGGGGACGATCGCGCAACACGTTGTGGTGCCAAGAATATCGGATGGGACGCCAGCATCTTGGAAAGAGGAGAAAGTGATGGTGCTGCTGCGCTCGAGCTGCGGCCCGCTTACTACGCCTTCACGCAGACCTCGATACCATTCGCTATTATGCAACTACTTCTCTTACCTAGTACCTAGTACAGTCATTCGCACCCATGGCGGATAATGGCTGCACTCTTTGCCTGCTCGACACTGAATTCCCGCTAGAAGAGCGAGGGAGCTCCCGCCAGCTCCACCTTGCTCTCAAAGGCCGCTCGACTCTGCATTTCGACCTTGCATCCCCGCAAGGTGTTGTTCAAGGGATATGGTGGTAAAAAGAAGATGAATAACAACAACAACAAAAATACACACAAGCAAGAAAAAAAGGCAAAAAGCTTGCTGCCCAGCCTCGGGGGTGGACAGCTACGAAAATTGCCATTTGGGCTTTTTTCTCCGCGACGGATAAACCGACATATATCCCCTACCGGGGCTCGAACCCCGAACCCAAGCGGCTAACGTAGCGGAGTACAGGTAGGGTCCCGGTGTCGACTCGACCCATCCTCATAACCGCTACACCAACTTGGCGTCCGAGGTCCGATGTTGACACAACGAGCGTGACGTAGTTATAAGGCTGAACCTTAGGAGCGGCAGGAACGGCAGGAACGACGGAGCTCAAAGGGCGGCAAGCTGCTCGCACTAGCCAGGTGCCCCAATAAACTAGGACCTTCGTCTGATAAAAAGAGAATGAAAACGCAAGCACCATTGGCAACTTCACCCCACAATGCTTGGTTTAGGCATACACACTTTGGCATATAAAAGGGTGATACACCCAGGAGTTGTTCTGTTCGATAAGGATCGACATCTGGGTTCAGTTTGTAAATAAAAACAACGAAAAGTAAACGCAAACAAACAATGTAAAGAAACGAGGAAGAAGCAAAGGAAAACAAACGGCCCACCAAAAAATAAAAATAAATAAAAGAAAAATGAAAAGAAGCCAAAACAACCAGAAAATAAAACGCCAACGTAGCATGCATAAAATGAAAGCTCGCTGATAATGCAAGAAGAAAACAAAAAGCCAAATGTGAAAAGCAAAAAGAGGAAGAAAAAAAGAACGCTCAAACATCAAGATAAAGCGACCAAGCGGCGCCTTTCCAATCAGAAGTCAGAAGTGAAGTGTGAGTACCACTCTAGATGGCTGCTGGCGACGGGCCCCTTAGTTGATGCAGATATTGCGGCGGCACGTGCCGGGGGTGATCCTCGACGGCGCCTGCCGGGCCTCGATGTCGGCGCCCTCATCCTGGGCCTCCTCGTCTTGGAACTCGGGCGACCGGCGACCGGGCATCTTGAGCGCCAGGGCGCCCGGGAGACCCAGGCGCACGTTGCGGCGGGGCTCCAGCTCACCAAATGGCGTGGGCGCGGCCACGGCCTGGGTCGCGAGGAGGGCGAAGAGGGCCTGGACGAGGGCGGTGGAGGTGGTGAACTTCATTTTGGCGGTGTTGTTGGTGTTGGTGTTGCTTTGGGTGTGTGTGTGTGTGTGTGTGTGTGTGTGTGCGCGGTTGAGGCTTCAAGCCTGGCTTTTCGGAGGAGGTGGCTGTTGTCGTTGTTGTTCGTTGTGATGCCGAGTGGTTGAGATTAGGGAGTAGTGATGAGTGAGGCTTGTGGATGATGATGACAGCAGGAATAATAGACAGATGATGGCGAGGCTTACTGGTATATTTATCTTTATCGCACGCTCGTCGGCTACTTCACCATGTCGTCCTTTACGTTTGATAAGAATAGGCCTTGAAGGCAGGTGATCTGCCATGGTCTACAGGGTTCCAACGGTTGCAGGTAAGGCGTGGTGGTCGCATGGACAGCGCCTCATCAAGGCCAAAATCATCCGCAAATAGAAGTCTGTTGAGTCGTGCCTGGCGAATCGCCACCCCCGGATTATCCACCCGCGTCTTGTTTAGGCAATTGCCATTCCATTATTAGGAGACGCGCCCGTGCGCAAATCCAGGGCATGGTTGTTCGTTTTAGAAGACTGGCCTTTTTACATGGAAGCTGGCTTCACTCCAACCCTCTCGGACCCCGAACTCTGGATCAGGTTGCACCCGCCTCGTGGCGGGTGCTCCCGCCCCTTCCATCCCATCCGGGCGCCGCAGCGATGCCAAATCTGGCTGAGGCGATCGAGCGAAGCATCCATGTTCACCGATCACACATGCAAAGATTGGTTGGAGAAATCAGGATGCATGTTACATATTACCGTGAATTATCCCCAAAAACGTCCAACCCAGCACATTTCCGCCATCAACCCCACCCACTGAACCTCCTGAAGATGAATCTCGTCAAGAAAAAAGGACGGGAACAACGAATCAACACAAGATGTCTAGTAGCTAGACGTCGACACCAGATCAAGACGGCACGCAAAAGTCGCTCCTGCCGCTGCCGCCGTCGGCGCACCCGTTGGCGCAGTCCTTGCGATGCTCGATGACGCCGCTCCGGCCGCCGGCGCAGTAGAATAGCGCGTGCTCGAACTTGGGGGCGTACTCCTTGCCGCGTCCGAGCATGAAGTTGACCTGGTCTAGGATGTCAAAGTAGCCGCCTGTGCTCGTTTGACGTTTTGTGTCTTGGTTTCAGCAACTGTGCCCCCGAAGAACCAGCCTTCGCCTTCTCACAAGGACTCTCTGATGTACGAACCTCTGTTGCGCAGGTTATAGCCGCAGTAGTTGAGCCCGGTCTTGCAGTTCTCTGCATAGACGCCGACGGCCAGGGCGGCAATGCTGATGGCGAGCGTGGCCTTCATGTTGACGACGATGTAGCTTAATAGCTAGACGAGGGCGATGGCGAGGATCGGTGCGAGGTTGAGTCGTCCGAATAGAAGTCGTGTTGACGGTGGGATGTTGAGCTGTGCTGGGTGATATCCTCTGTTCATCTCGTCCAAGACAGCGATGAGGGAGGGTTTTATACATTTCCATCCCCCACGACTTCAACGAGCCCGGCGATACCACCGAGCACCGCCTGCTCATGCTCTTCCTCTCGCTGGCCCAGATCCTGGCTGGTTCGTAGCTTGGACCAACCAGCACATCCGTGGTGCTGTCCTGCTGTACGGAAAATGCCGTCTCATGACCTTCGGATATGAAGCGGCTGGCGAGGCTGGCTCATGCTGCCGTCATGTCTCCGAATCGGAGCTGAACTGGCTGTAGGGCTTTTGGCCAGAGAGGCAAGCTGGTTGGGCAGTCGTCTTTCTTGGAAATTCAACGGGTTTTCCGACCCCGAAAATGTCCTCTTCCTTCTACGCCAGCCTTCGGAGCCAAGACTTGGGCTGGCACTGGTAGAGTGGCAACAGCGCACCTGAGTGGTTGGCCTTCGATAATGGGTTTTCAGCCACACCGCCCGCTGATTGGCCAAAGTGGACAACAAATTCTTCCAACGAAAAGACACCAAGAGATCCTGCCGGCGGACAAATGTGATGGCTGTAATGCTTGGCCTGGCATTTTGTTCAACGAAACGGCCAAACCAAGCCCCTATCTCTGCGGCCTTGTCTTACCGATGGCTAGGTGCGCGTGTGCGACGATTGGCGTGTGCTCTCCCCCATCTTACTTTGCAACAAATTCTAGGCTTGGCATGCCTAACGGCATTGAGATCACTCAGTGGCGGGTAACTACATGATATGTACCTCGGCAGTCGCCATATGTCCGTCTCTGCCACCGTCGCCTTGGTCGGGAAGCCAAGGCGTAGACGTTTCTGATGTCGACGATTCTCAGCACACACGACCACCCGCAGCTTCCGAACCTATCACCTACATCAGATTGCCCATCTTTGTCTTATGGACGCCCTATCCAGGTCATTCTGCTCACATGCTCGGTGTTACCCCGGAGGCTTGTGTCGGAACTTTGGCTCCATTTCTAGACTCTACGACCGCAACCCAAAAACATATTGGAGTCGCCACCCAACATGCCGGAACAATGGGAAGCAATTTAGGGGGTCCATAAATAAAAAGATGAAAAGGGTACCATCTCTCTATACCTAGTGACCTACCTCACCATCCCGGCACGGCTGGCCCTGTCTCATCCCGGATACATGTAGCCGACGCTGCAACCCAATTGTAATATGCTTGAACCTGTGGGGGCGGAGGACATTGTCATTCCTGAGGTGTCGATACCAGGAGGCGAAGTCTCGTGAAAGAAGATTTCCAGTATCGGGATGTCACTGGATCAATTATGACATACTTGCGGAATTGCCCTAGTCATGGAAAGCCCTGCACAAATGCTTCAAGGCCTAGCGCGGATGCTTCTAGATATAACTCTGCAAGTAACTCGAGCCCGCAGGTGCTCTACTCGAGGGCACCGGGCGACGGCATCGTTCTGTCCGGCAAACACAGATCCCCTGGGACGGCGGGGAGGCAGCCAGGCTCACTGGAGATGTAAGTTGATACTTATAAAGCCAAGGAGTGCCCGGGGCCTGCAATTACCACGAAAAGCATGCGGAGAAGCAGGCGATCAACCGGCACTGCCAGACGACGGCAATTGTCGCCACCCGGTGCCCCGGGCCTGGCCAATAACCAAGTCCGAGACCCCCTGGCCATACACCCCCTACTTTAACCATATGAAAACCCCATAGTGCGATAGTGCATGGGATGCACAGCGGGACTTGTTGGCCTCGTTTTTCAAGGTCGGCAGTTCCCGACGCGTCCTGCCTGTGCAGGTCGGCTGCTATTCTTGATCCATGGCAGCTCGCGCGGCTACGGGCATGATTTAAAAGGATCGGAAGAGGAGGTCGGCGGCTTGGAAAGTGCTGGCAGCTAGCTTTCTTTGGATTCTCTTTTTTTTCTGTCCTCATCAGCAGCAGCACTCTTGAAGCCGAAACCCTTCTTTGAATCCTCTCGAGCTTGACACACGACGCAGACGCCATAATGCAGTGGACGCTCGCCGCCGCCGCCGCGGCACTGCTCGCGCAACAGGCCGCCGGGCAGCAGATGCTCCGGTTCGCGTGCTCGCAGCTGGTGGTCGACCGCGTGGACCCGCTGGTCAACCCGGGCATGCGCTACACGCCGCACCTGCACCAGATCGTCGGGGGCAACAGCTTCAACATCACCATGGACGACAACCACGACCTGCCCAAGAAGTCCAAATGCACGTCGTGCAGCTTCCGGGAGGACCTGTCAAACTACTGGACCGCCGTCATGTTCTTCCAGCACCGCAACGGCAGCTACCAGCGCGTGCCCCAGGTCGGCAACGGCGGGCCGCAGGGCCGGCTGCTCAACGACGGCGGGCTGGACGTCTATTACATCCCCAGCGGGAAGGTGACGGCATTCAAGAAGGTGAGAGTCATGGTTTCAAGGGGGCTCCCTCCCCAAAGCCACAGGCCGCCAATGACGGCCCCGCTGACACTTCCTCCTCCTCCTCCTCCTCACACGCAGGGATTCCGCATGCTAGCCGGCGACGCGGGCCAGACGCAGGACAGCCGGGTCAGCAAGCAGAACATCTGCCACCGGTGCTGGACGTCGCCCAACGAGAACACCTTTGTCGGCGGCGCGCCCTGCACGGGCCAGGACACGGTCGGCATCCCGCAGGACCCGCGCTGCAAGATGATCCGCCAGACCATCATCTTCCCCTGGTGCTGGGACGGCAAGAACCTCGACTCGCCCGACCACAAGGCCCACGTCGCCTACGGCCAGGGCAACGGAGCCGGCGGCGGCGGCGCCTGCCCGTCCACGCACCCGGTCAAGCTGCCCGTCATGTGAGTACAGGGAGAGGGGGGGATGATTGGCCCCTCACCTTCGTGGGAGCGGCCTACTAACCACACGCGCCATGGGGCACTCTAGCATGTACGAGCTGATGTGGAACGTCACAACCTTCTCCAACCGCAACGACTGGCCCGCCAGCGGCAATCCCTTCGTCTACAGCATGGACCTCGGCGGCTCCGCGGCGCACGGCGACTACGTCTTTGGCTGGAAGGACCAGTCGCTGCAGCTGGCCATGGACAACAAGTGCAATCTGAACCAGGCGGTACGTGCTCTCTCGTGGTTGATGCTCCAAATCCTTTTTTTTTCCTTTTTTTTTTTTTAATAGAAGTGCTGACCAACTTGCCCCTCGACGTCGACAGTGCCCCAAGGCTGGCCTCACCGCCGCCCAGCCGGCCGAGTACAACGCCTGCAAGATCAAGCAGCAGGCCCCAGAGGACGTCAACGGATGTAAGTTCGCGCTCTTGCACTGTCGCATCTTGCATTCCGCCCGCTGACGACTACGTTGCGTGCAACCGATAGGGCTCCAGGCTCTGCCCTTGGGGGCGAGGGCCATCAAGGCATGACGGCGATGGGAGGTTTATTCGCCGCCGCCACCGCCGCCGCCGTTGTTTCGCCGTTGGGGAAGATATCAGGGCTAGGAAGGTATTGGTAACATAGAATGAGACTGTTGTAATCCATTTCAAGCACACACGGTTGTTGAGCCCGTAGCATGACAAGATTGCAGTAGGGTACAAATGTTTCGTCCAACGGGAGGCATCATCACCAAGTAGCATCACTAAAGTCGACGCCAGATTTTGCACAGACATTCACCAGCATCAGGTTCGGTCGGCGGCCAAATATTAATTACTCGAGATCCCTGCAACAAGCCCCCCTTGGGAGGTGATTTTTTTTTTTGAAAAAGTCGTCATGAGCCTTATAGACAAAGGGGACGGCCGTGAAGGCGTTTTCGTGACATTCGTGAGAAAGAAATGGCAAAAGGCCAAGGTATCATAAGAGTGATAGGAGAGTCATCAAACATAACGTTAACCGTAAAACGTGACCATAGTGAACCGCGTGACAGAAACTCCGTCAACAGCCCCGAGACGCCCCTCATTGGATGGAAGAGGACGGAAGAAAAAAATCATAAACGTGAAAAAAAAAAAATGAAAAAAAAAAAAAAAAGTCATGAATGCTGATAGCCGTTGCCCAAACAAGGACAAGGCGGGATCCAGCAGCAGATAAGAAAGACGAAAGTAGACAGAGAAAGAAGAAAAGGAGAAAGAGACACTCGCGCTTGCGCGAATGGTCGGGTTTTCAGTAGCCCTTGGCGGTGACGGCGCCGACGGCCAGGACCTCGATGCGGCCGGCGTAGAGGCGCATGAGGTGCGCGACGGGGTCGCCCCAGATGATGCCGCGCAGCTGGTCGTCGGTCGTGACCTGGGCGACGACGCCTTCGTTGAGGCGCTCCTCGACCGTCTTACGGCCCTTGAGGCGCGACTTGGGGTCGCCCGACCGCAGCACCACGACTCGCCCGGCGTTGCTGAGCGTCGTCGGCGGCACGTGCCAGACGGTGCCCGACGAGGCCGAGGAGGGGGGGTAGGAGGAGGAGGAGGAGCGGGACGACCGGCTGCTACCGCCGGCGCCACCGCCGCCGCTGCTGCTGCTGCTGCTGCCGCTGACGCCGCCGCCGCCCCCGGACGAGGACCTCTTCGAGTGCGACGAGGAGCCCGAGACGGACGACGACGACGACTTCTTACCCGGCCTGTGCGACCTGCCGCTGCTGCTACCGCTGCTGCTGCCGCTGCTGCTGCCGCCTCCATCCCTCGACATTGGAGACGACGACGGGGGCGCGGGTGCTGCGAACAGCTCGAGAAGGCTCTTGACGTAGGCCTTGTCAGCCCGCGCGACCGGGTCGCCCTCGTTGATGAAGCTGAGGAACAGGCTCTTCCTCCCGTTGCCACCGCCGCTAGTGGCGGCGCTGCTGCTGCTGCTGCTGCCGCCGTTGCCGTCGTCTATGGCGGGCTCGGGCGCCACCAGCGGCATGAGGGACACCGGGGGCGCGCCAAAGGTGACGCAGTGGATGCGCCGGAAGCAGCCGGCCATCTGCGACAGCTCCGAGGACGACCCGTTACGGCCGGACCCCATCATGTGGCTGTACAGCAGGGCGGCGACGGCGCCGCCGGCCGAGTGGCCCGTTAGTAGGAGGCTATAGCTGCTCCGGCCCGGGTCCTCCTCGAGCAGGCGGCGCAGGCGGGCGGCGACGGGCGCCACCATACTGCGGGCGACGCTGAGGAACCCCGCGTGGCAGAAGTTGCCCGGGTCGTCGAGGAAGCCCTTGGGCGAGGCTGGGGCCGTGTTGAGATTGACGGTCCAGTCCATAAAAGTGGCGGTGCCGCGGATCGCGAACACGATGGTGTTCATGTGGTCCATTGGCACCGACTTGATGGTCATGGCCTTGGCGCCCGTCCGCCAGTCCGAGTCCACGTGCGTGTCGCGCTCGGCACCGCGAGGGTTGTCATACACTCGCTCCGAGTACTGCGCCGCGAGACATAAGATGGGCCATGTCGGGATGTAGCTACACCAGATAACATCGAGGTTAGTTTGGTCAATCGTCCCCTACTTGCAGGCTTCTTTGGGTGGTGATTCCCTCTGCTTGCATGAGAAGGCCTGCGACGTACAGTTTGAGGGGCGGGAGGTTCATCGGCAGCTTGGAGTTAGCGTAAAGATCGACCTTGGCGAAGTAGTCGCTCGACGCCACGTTGGCTGTCAGAGCGGTGCTCTGGCACTTGGAGTGCTCCTTGCGATGGTGGCTCTTCTTAGTGGTAGACCTCCTGGAAGAGGATCGCGTGGGAGCCGAAGAAGGCCTGGGCGACGACGGAGCAGAGGCGCTCGCGGCAGGGAGAAGTCCCACAGGCTGACCCGGGCGCGAGGGCCCGATGCCGGGCGACTGCGCCGAGGGTAGCGTGAACAGCTCCCTCTCGTTGCCCTTGTAGTGCTCCAGGTCGATTGAAGTTAGCACGTCGTTGAGCCTGGACTGGAGCTGGTCGCAGATTGCGGCGCTTTGGTTGAGCAGCTGTGTGCCGTAGTCGTGCCATGCCGGCAAGCAGTCGTCGTATCGCGGAGGCGGTGCCACCTGCAGCGATGATGGGAGCGCATCGTTGGCCATGTTGAACATGGAATCGGCAGTGGATGAACCGCCGCCGCCGTAGTTGACAGGGCCTTTCGGTGGCGGCATTGGTGGCGGCGCCGCCGGTGAGATGTAGTAATGTTGGTGCATTATTATCGGCGGCGCAGCCTGGCCGCCTTCGTAAGGGTAGGATGCCGGTGGTGGCATCCATCCGTTGGGTCCTGGCAGGTAGCCTGCCGGCCGGAACTGGTAGTTTGCCCCGTCGTACTGAGGCTGCCATTGCGGCTGTGGTGGTGATGCCGGAGGTGCTGCGCGAGAGGTAGGAACCGGGGCCGAGGCGCCAGGAGGCTTTGGTAGTCTTTTGCTGGGAGTAAGAGCAGTCGAGTTCGACGAAGGGTGAGACTTGGTGCCGCCTTTGTCGCGTTTCCTGCTCGGTATCATGCCGAAGCCGAAGAAGCTCAGGAGGGCCGAGGGAGCCATTGTGTTGCGGGTAGTAGTATATGAGTTGCTCCTGGTCTTTTGTTTTCTTCTCTTCCTTTTTTTTTTTTTTAATTCTTTTGTAGGTCACGACAGTCCGCCCCAACCGGAGAATTTCCTGCGTAGTAATGATGGAGCGTTGAGCATTAGGCAGTGCGAGTCTAGAGACACGTGAATGAAGCCAAGGATGGGGGAGGCGACAGAAGACGGGGCCGTCTGTGTATATGTATATATGTGCAGGTTGCGTTTATGCCGGTGGCTAGGGTAGAGAAAGGGCTCGGGAGAGGCCGGAGGACTGTGGATCGAAGGGGAGGGGGCTAAAATAGGAGAAGAAGAGGACAAGCCCAAGGCGGCCGAGGCGCACAAAGGATGGGATAAAAAGGAAAAGCAAGACACCATCTGGAGTCGATGGCAGGGGGCGCGATTCGGCCGCGCATGCAGTTCGGCTCCATACACGGGCTTGCTGCCCTCCTCGTTACTCAACGATGCATCCACACGCGCGCACCTTCACTAACACGGGCGCCGTGCCTCTGCTAAGGTTATCGTGCAGGCGACATGGGGGGGAGGGATGAGCAGACGAGCAGACGAGCATGGGGACCGGCGGGGGTCCAAGTCTGGAGCTGCTGGGAAGCACCCTTGTCCAGGTGGCACTTCTGAGCCGCCATTGGCCACGGCGGCCAGCGCATAGCCCCAGTCAGGACCGCACCAGACCGCGCAGCCAAACAACGACGAGGGCCGACAAAGTGAGTGCAGAGTGCAGGAACAGGGAGAGGCACAGAGGCCAGAGACGAAGGCGGAAACAAGGCCACCAAAAGAGAGCCGTCTACCGTGCGACCGAGCGTGCCAGGCGAACCAGAGTTCGCAGCCGTCAACCCAGCCAGGGGTGCCGGTTCGACTGGGCTGCCATGCGAGCGCTGCAGGACCATTCTTGTCCACGTAGGAGACAATATGATGCGCTCATTTGTCTGCTTTGCGGCCCAGACGCTAGCGGGTAGGGGTCGAAGGTGCATCAGACCCAATAGGACTGGGGGATATCAAAAACTGCCAGTCGGGTCTTGAGGCCCAGGCGGGGTGGTCGTGACTGACGCAGGCCATCCGAATCCCCCTTTTTCATCTTGAATTTTTCCCCCCTCATTCCTTTGTTCTCCTCTTGGCCATCCTGTCAGTGGGCGAAAAGGGCGAATGTATGAAAAAGGTGGACAGCTTCTAGAACTATAGCGCCCAACGTCACGGGGACTGATGATCGTTTCACGGCCTGCCAGAGCTTGGACGCAGAAACTTTTTTTTTTTCGTCCTTGCTTTTGACATCATGGTTTCTTTCTTGTTCTCGCTGTCATTTTCCTTCTTCTTGTCATCTTATATCTTCTTCTTTCTTTCTCTTCTTTTTTTTTCCTCGTCCACTTTAGCTCTTCGTGTTCTTTGGAACATCGGGATCGCCTTGTTCAAGGCTTCCATGAAACAACGCCGGTGGTGGGCAGAGATGGGATGGGCGGCAGTGATGGATGTGTGGAAGAAATGAATGGGTGTGCAGATCAAGGGGCCCAAGCCAGCCAGCACCACACGCAGGCGACACAGCAGTGGCAGGCTCTTCAGGGCCACCACCCCACCAGCACGGCGCTTGCTCCCGTGTGTCGCGAGTGGAGGAAGGACGGTGTCCCCCCTCGAGCCGTGGCATGAGCCATGAGCTGTCGTGTTGCCGTTAGCCGCCCGAAGGGATGCGGGGACTGGGGGTCCGCCGTTGAGGACGGCGCCAGCACCAACGAGAAGAGTTCAGACGGGGCTGGTGCATGAGCCGTGCGTCGTCGCCATGCATCCAGGCCCTGCAGCAGCAACCAAGACGCCCTGGCCGTCCAACGTCGCAGCCATTGGTCGCGCATGTGTGACTCCCAGCCTGATGGGCAGTCAGGAGGCAGGCGATGCGCCGCTGCCGAATTGACACGTTGGAGATGCCGGGGCGCCTCGCTGGCATGAGATGGAACATGAAGGGTGCCAGGGAGGGGGCAAGGCCAGGCCGGCAGAGGAGCAGCAGCAGAGGAACAGCCAGCAGAGGAGCAAGCAGGGAACAGCAGCCGGCAAGTGGGTTCCTGCCAGCTAGTGCCGTGGCCGGCCCGTCTGATAAAGAGTCAATCTGTCGGTCAAACAGAAACCCCATGTCTTTTGCTCGATTTTTTTTCTCTTGTCACCAGCGCGGTGAGTCAAAGGCTGGCCAGGGTGGATCAGTAGCCAACCTCTTCGTCTAGCCTTTTACGCCCAGCCTTCTTCGGACGCATCGCTGGAATGCCGTCACGGCTCACGGTCCTCAGGGGAGCACAGACCAAAATATCTGTCGCACTTGTGCCTTGTCCCGTCTGCCCTCCCTCTGTCGCCCTCGATCCGACGTCCAGTGTCCAGCACCCAAGTTGTCTGCGCCCGTCCCATATGGATCAATTACCACGGCTAGTCAATCGGTGCGTGAGGTAATGTAGATGCGTGGTAGAGCTGCATTGAGGCCGTGCGCCTGCATCAAGGCAATCCGTCAGTCAATCATGGGCACTCGTGTTTTTGCTGGCTGCGTCACCCGTCCGCCTCGAGCTTTCCGGGTGGCCAAGACGCCGTGGGCGGGCTGGCTCCAGGCTGGGGCCCTCCCTTCGGCCCTTCGCTGTCGGCCACCGGTCACCGGCCACCAGGCGTCTGGTCCTGATTGTCGCCGGTATTGGTTGGCTGTATTTCCCTTGGTCCGTCGCATTTTGCTGCCCAGTGTCGGGTCGAGCTTTACAATTTGATGGAATCCATCAATTCAGGCCCAGTCCAGCCCCAGCCAGGACCCAGTCAGGACCCCCCGCCCACCGAGCCCGCACTTGACTCAATCCATAGTGGGGCCCTCGAAGCGCCTAGCACAAGCTCCAGTCCCTCCCCGGGACCCGCCGGGCTGGGCAAGCTTAGGCCTTGAGGCGGGCCATTCATTGAGCGTCACGGCCTGGCCACTGCTAATGGCACAAGCTAGCAGCAGATCTGGACCTCCCATTGCCAAACAGCATCTGGAACGCGCAGATTCATGCGACCGTCGATGCTGACTGGCTGCCCACCCAGCCCCGGCCGAGACCACAGCTCCCCTCCGAGCTCGAGGGCGAGCCTCGTCCGCCTCAATCAGGCTGCCACATCCGAGTAGGCAAGCAGCATCGACCGAGATGCCTTCAGACACCGCACAATGGATTTCGTGAGTCCTGCCGCCGCCGCCGCCAGCCTTGGCCTAGCGCTCCGTGTGTCCCCAAGAGCCAGCCTACTGACGCCTTCCCGGCCCCTGCTTGCCTGCCCCAGTGGTCACGATTGCTAGCCCACACTCCTCTGTCCTCGGACAGCTCCCGCCGAGACCATGCCAAAGACCCCTTCCGCCGCCTCCAGCGGTTCGAGAAGAAATATGGCCAGATGCTGGTATGCACGAGCCCCTATCGCCGGCCCCGATCCAGCTCGTTTCTCCTCCCTCCGCTGCGGCGCTGACAAGAGTGGTGGTGATGGTGACGTTAGCAAATATGGAGGAGCACCTCCAACCTCGCCCGTGACGAAGACGCCGCCGAGGCCATCGAGGAGCGCCTTGTGGAGCTTACGGCGATCCTGGCCGACGAGTCGCGCCGTCCACTGCCACACCCCTGCATCGCCTTTTCCGCCTCCAAACAAATATATGTGCCCGTTTCCAAGATAGCCACCACCTCGTATGACGAATGTATAGTTCGCGAGGCCGTCCTCTTCTTCGCTACTCTGATCGAAAGTGAAGAGGAGGCTTTTGTCGAGAGCGAAGCCTTCGCCAACAGCTTGACCACCCTCCTCCTCCGCATCACCGGCGCCAACAGCTTCCAGCTCGGCTCCGATACCGAGATCAGGATCGTCGAACTCGCATTCAACATCACCACCAAGATCCGCCTCGACCCGGCCAGTGTCCTCGCCGCCTGGTTCAAATCCTCACCGCCTCCGCCCCCGCCCCCGCCCCCGCAACAGCAACAACAAACCGTCTCTTCTGATGCTGGACCAGAGAAGCAGTTGCAGGATAGCCACGACAAGTTCGCGGGTAGGACCCAAAAACAAGACTTTCCACTCTTCTACCTCCTGGTCGACTACATCCACCATGAGGGCAAGGTCGGCGACTTTGCTCGCACAGGTCTGCTGTACGTCATCGAGGCCGCCTCGAGCTCCGTCGACCTGGAGCGATGGATCGTCGAGAGCGACTTGTCAACCCTCATGGCCACGGGCCTAGGTGCCCTCTACAGCCAGCTGAGCCGGAAGCTCGTCATCGACCACCCCGCCGACCAACTACCTCCCATCCTCGCCCTCTCCGACTACCAGCATCCCAAGTCTACCTACGAGATCGTCAGCTCTTGTTCCCCCGAGTTCCAGGCGCACCTGGACACCTTCCTGTCCCATCTTCTATTCTGGCAGGATGTCCTTAACCACTGCAAGTCGGTCGAGGTCAAGTCGACGCTCCTGGAACATTTTCGCATAATTTTCCTTAAACAGCTATTGTGAGTAATGCTTATATCGCACAGCCGGTTGCAAAGGGGTTTGTGGGCGCTGCCTGGAACTCTGGAGTCATTCTGTTCTAACATGCCTTTTTCTAGATACCCCTCGCTGCTCGAATCTTCTGACATGGATGGTGGCTCCTCTGTCGCCGTCCTGACATATCTCCGTCGTATTCTGGAGTCCCTCGACCACCCGGACATGATCAGCCTCATCCTCTCGTACCTTCTGGCTCTTCCGGAAGCTGCCGCCTTGGAGACGTCCTCTGCAGAAGGTCCTCGCAACACAGTTAGCGCGGCGCGCAAGCGCAAGTCGATGGACCTCTTGAGCATGATTGCTGCTCAGTCCGAGACTGCTGCCGACCCGCTGCTCTACAACCTGGTCGACCTCATTCTCTCCTGCTTGCGCTCCCACAGCCACCAGACCATCCACGTCACTCTCCAGCTCGTCTCGGCCATCTTGAGGCGGCACCACCGGTATGCCACGGCGACCCTGCTAAAAACGGAGGGCGTCCACAGCGCAGCGCGCCGCCGGACAATCGGCGCGCACAGTCAGGAGGTGGATTTCTTCATGTCTTTGGCCGGCGCCATTGGTGGTCAGGACGATTTCGATGCGCTTTACGAAGACTCCCTTCGCGATGCCACCACCCGTCTCGAGTCGCATCCGTGCTCGCTCAAACTTGTCGCGCCGCGCACGTCGACTGACAACCACGACCTGCCCGCCGTCCCGATCGACAGCTTGCCAGGTGCGCCGCGCGATGTCCACCGACACACAGTCCGGCCCGACGACCCCCTTTTGAACGCCGTGCTCGACCTTCTCGAAACGTTCTTCGTCAACCCCATCGAAACGAACCTGTCGGTGACGGAGACGCTTTTCGACCTGGCGGTTTGCGGGTTTGTGAGCATGGAAGGCTGGATGTTACGACACCCAGACAAGTACACGTTCGGTGACGATAACGACGACGACGATGACGACGACTACGACGACAGTCAACAGCCTCTAAGCCCAGCCGCTCTTGACCCGGACTCGCCCGAATTTGCCGAGTTGCGCCGGGCGCGCGAGATGAGGAAATGCAGACGGCGACCTCGATGGTCTCCCATAGGACTTACCCGACTCCTGGCACTCCTCCAGACGCTCTCGGAACAGGTTGAGGCCTATCGCGAGTCTGTTCCGCGCTTCGACGATTTGCTCCAACAGCGACGAGAGGCCTTCCAGACCGCAAACGCCTCAGGCGCCTCGGTCAACCCGCAGCCCGGCGCCCGCAGCAGCAGTGGTGGTAGGGCCGGGGCCGCAATAACTCCGATCATGGGCACCGGCGAGTGGCGTCATCGCTCAAGTGTCAGCGACTCCAGGAGCTCTTCACCTGGCGGCATACCTGCGGCGCTCGAGGGATTCGCACAGCGCATTCTCTCGGAGCTCGGGACTCCCAGCCGCACTGGTAGCCCGCGCGGAAGGAAGGATTCGGCCGGTGATCGACTCCGTCCCGGCGGTGGTAGGTCCTCAACCTCGACCCCATCCTTATCGCAGGGCGAATTCGCCGGCGGTCAGTGGAGCGCCTCATCGACGGCAATGACAGGAGGCTACGGGCTCGCAACGCCGACAGCGACGTCCACCATACCTCCCCCCAGATACGACAACCCGACAGCCTCAAGCTCGCCATCGAGAGGACCTGCCGGATCCCCTATGCGTTCGGGCGGCGACAGGGGTAGGGATCCAGCCGTAGCTAGTCAGGTCGAGGCGTTCAAGGCGATCGACCAACAGATCTTGGCCAGGCGCGTCTGCCTCCCGGCTGTGACGCGGATCGTGCAGCCAATCCCACTAGACCTCAGCGGGAAAAAGCTGGCCACAGGAACCAAGGAACCAGGGACTGGTGACCTCGATGGGGCACGGGATGGCGATGTTACGGACGAGAAGACGCAGGTGTCGCAGCAGCCAATGTCGCTTGAGATGGAGCTGGCGGCAGAAGAGAATGGCGACGGCAATGAGGACGAGCAGCATGAGGAAGCGGCCACAGACGCGCCTGCCAAGGAGCCTGAGGAGCCCAAGACGGTGTCAGTGTCTCACCTCCTCACGAACGTGCTCGTCCTTCAATCATTCCTATTCGAGCTGGCTAGCCTTGCCCAGGCCAGAGCGGCTCTATTTGACGAGGTCCGATTTGCGTGAGCATTACGACGCCATGCGTGATATTTTCCGGCTTATCTTTTGGGGACGAGCCGCTGGATACTGGGCCGGGCCTCTTGTTTTTGTCTTCAGAGCACCTTGGGCACATTTGTTTCAGGCCATTGGTTAGTTTCGAACCACAGACAGCACGTCCATGTTTGGATTACGTTTTATAAAAGCGATGAGCTGGATCGGGTCACTTGTTGTACTCTTTGTAGCAGAATCCAGTGAGAGGGAGTATCACGGTCAGGAAGCAAGCGTGGCATGGATCGAAGCATCATTGCTCATTATATCCTACCCAGTGAAGAGAAAGAGATAAAAAAAAAAAATGCCGGCGTAGAAGGCGAATAAGTCTCCAATGGCAGAAAACGCGGCAAAACCAAAACGCATCGCAGTAAAGATGATCGAACCCAGGATCGAACTGAGGACCTTGAGCGTGTTAAGCTCACGTGATAACCGACTACACCATTCGACCGCTTGGCGTGCTTCTTGCAGGTCGGCGATTCGTGCGTCGCTCATGTCCCCGGGCGGCAACGACACGGAGGGGAGGAGTGCCCCACCCCTGGTGGTGGTGGGAACAGATGAGGAGAGAGCGGGCAAGAAGTGAGGCGAGTGGCTTCCAAGGCGGTCGCCGACCACCTGTCACGCCAGGATGCGATGCCTGTTCCCACCGGTTGGAGCTTTGGATGGGGTCTTTATACTGGAGCCGTCCCGCATGGCTGCCCAAAGGGCCAGGGGCCGGTTGGTGCGGGGTCTGGGGTCCTGACGGGGGGAGGGAGGGTTTGTGGGTGGAACTTTGCAGTGAAGCTAGCGGAGTAGATCAGCTATCGATATAGTAAACAAAACCGGTCTTCGCCGGGTCCCAGTTCATCTCCCTCTCATTACCCACCCTCTCCTGCATACTCCTGCCCACCCAAGTGACGCATCAGATATCCGCACATGATTCAATACCAAACATCCAACAACTGACAGAGGAAATACGCCGAGAAGGGCTCAAGAAACGAAGTGAACAAAGGAAAGCTATAATATCTCGAAACAGTACAAGTGGCTGTGTGGGGTATAAAGTCCCTCGCGGAGGGAAACGTATTGTCTTTTGAGACAAGAAAGGGGATCGTAGTTAAAGAGTGGTGTTGGGCGATTTTCTGGTTCTCCAAGATGTATATAGGCCGAAACAACGATCCCGGGTGGCGGTGCACCGACCTGCGTCGTTACCTGGCTGGCAGGGTGTTGAAGTCAATCTCTGCGTTCATGCCGCCACCGCCACCGCTCATACCTGACATGGATGTCATAACACTCATGTCGGAGTTGGTGCGTTGAAGAGCTTGGAAGTCCCCAACAGTCCGTAGATGCGGGGCCTGTGCGATTGAAAAGCTGTTTGTTCGTCCTGGCTGCTGTCGCATCATCATGCCCTGGGAGCCAGTCATCATCGTCTGGCCCAACTGACCAAGCGAATTATTCATGATCTGGCCAACCCCGAAACCGTGGTCTATGCCGGCGCGCAGTCCTTGTTGCCTGGGTGCTTGACTCATGCCCGAGTGCATGCTGTTCTGGAAGTGGGTATTTATACTGTTGTTGGCCCCCTGCAATGCCGCTATACTCTGCTGGTGTTGAGCTTGATGAGGGGGATGTTGCTGGGAATATTGTTGGTGTTGGTGTTGGTGCTGCTGTGGCGACTGGTGTTGTAATGGCGACGGATGCTGACGAGACTGTGGTAGTGGTTGTTGCCCAGGGATGCCTCCCGGGGTGCTGAGGTGTGAGCCTGGCGCAGGACCGACTGGACTCATGACCATGTCTGTCATGGAATTGAAGTCCTGTGAAGACAGCCCGTTCGGAAAGTCGACGCTGGGGGACAGCACAACCGGGGAGCTGACAAAGGGCGAGTTCATGTCCACAGCACTCCCACCCGACGACGAAGCAGGCTCCGACTTGAACTCCTCAACGCGGGGAATGGCAAACTTGGATTCATACTCGTCCATTGGCGCCATTGCTGACACATTACCGAGACCACCATTGCCAAACCCATCGAAGATGTCGATGTTGCAAGCCATTTCGGGGGCTTTCTGGAGCATGGGGCTGATGAGGCGTGGAAGAACGTCGTTCATCTTGCACATGAGCAGAGGCAGGAACCGCGATTCGCCGTTTCGGACGAGACCAAGCAGGTTGAGAATATGCTGTAAGCTGTCACGGGGGTTGAAGACGGCGAATGGGTCGCTGTTTGGCTGGAGGGCAAGCACCTCGGTGAGCGAAGAGGCCACCTCGTAGAGCTTCTCGACCTGGCGCGGCAAACAGAGCAGGTGTTAGTGCAAGGATACACAAACCCGGGATGCGATTCAGAGAAGGCCCAATACTTACAAATCCGCCGCTGATGAGCTCCATGTTCCGCGTCGAAAAGGCGGACGTCATGGCAAGCAGCTCCTGGGATACGTCGATGGGAAACCGCATCGACGCCATGCCCTGCTCGTTGCTACTCATGCGCGACATGCTCAGCTGCCATACGATGTTCTTGAGCCAGGTCTGGTTCGTGTGCACATCGCCGAGCCGCGGATCTGTCACATTGAGATACGCAGGCAGGGCATCGGCGAACTGCTTCTGGAGCCCATCAACGTATGAAGAAGAGCAGGACTCCTTGGTGTTGTTCCACAGGTTCACAAACTGGTCGTCAAAGGGGCGGAACATTTTGGCAAGCAGGACAAAGCCGCCGAGCTGGTGCGCACACTGGTCGCTGGGGTCGTCTCCGGTCGTCGGGAGGTTGATGGACGCCTGGAGAGTCAGGGGCCGGCCGCGCTGCAGAGCGTAGGCCCTCTCGGTGACGAACAGCAGCCAATACAGCCGCCTCCGCCTTGATGCGCTGGCGTTGTCGTAGCCCACATACGAGTCCTCCTTGGTCATGCCAGTCATGTGCGCGACCGTGGTTGCCTCCCGCAGGTGGAACCAGGCCTTGTCGTGTAGGTCGAGGGCATAGTAGCAGGCAAAGAGAAAGTAACTGGTGCAGAGGCTGTTCGGGGTTGGTGACTCGATGTGGTCGTAGGCCTTCCGGACACGAATCGTCTCCTCCATGAGCAGGGTTCCCGTCACTATGTTGGCGCCGGGCATGACATCGAGCCCGTAGGGGTCACCGCCAGGCATCGACATTCCAGGCTGCAGCATCATGAAGGCGCAGAGCGAGGTGAGCAGGCAGTAGATGTCGACGTTGGTCTCCATGGAGGTGGTGTCGCGCTCAAGCTGCTGCCGATTCAGGATGGGAATGATGGAGTACATGTTGCCGAAGTAGAAGTCGACACACTCCTTCACGATCTCCTTGGTCAAGAGGCCAGGGGTGGGCGATAGGGTCGGGCTGGCGGGCGGCGAGACTGCGCCATGGATGCGGTTGTGGACCTTGGTCGCGAGGCTGGTCTGGCGCTGGGTCTCACGCAGCTCGCTGATGACCTTGGCCCTGGAGCCCTTGGGACCCTTCTTTTGTGGGATCGCATTGTACGTGCACGACAACTGGGCCGAGGAGCAATTGCGGCACGGGTTGATGCCGTCGCACTTGACCTTGCGACGGTGGCAGGCGTCGCACGCTCTTTTTACGGCAGTCGTCATGGCGGGCGGGCGGACGGGTGGGCGGGCGGCGGTTGCGGCGCGGTGCGAACGAGGTTCGGGAGATCAAGAGTCGCGCCGTCGAGCGCACGTCGCAAACGACGGTGCCAGGTCAGGCTTCGATTTGTTTGTTTCCTTTTCGTCCCTGTCCTCCTACTCTCCTCCCCACTTTGACGGCAACAGCGGCTCCAGCGAGCGGCCGAGTCAAAAGGCGGGAACCGAGGATGTGGTTCAGCCCAACAGCAAGCCCATCTGAGCGTCACTGGGTCGGACGACAGTGCGACGGTCACAGTACAAGGGCGGCGGGATTTGTCGAGTCGTCGTGTGCTTGGGTTCCGGGGAACAGTGAAGCAATTCGCGGGGACTCCAGGTTTCGAAATCGGCCCTTTTTTGGTGAGGAATCGGGGGAAGAATCAGGAAGAGAGCGGAGAAGGGGAGAAGATGGAGCAGCAGGCAGGGCGGGTCGACGAGACGGGTGGGTCGCTGCGACTGCTGCTGGGTCGCCCCAGAGAAAACGAAAATGGCCAGGGGCAGCCGTCGCCTTCGAATAACGGGTGGGTGGTCACGCCGCCTTTCTGTTCCTGCGAACCCGCGCCCGGGATTGATCTGAGGCCAAAACTGGGGAACGGCGCAGTCGATTGGCTGGGGTGGGGCGAGAAGCCAGCGGCAGTTTCCTGAGGAGTAACGGGAAAACAAAAATGGAGGAACAGGCTTTTGGGGCAGGCTGGTCACCTGGTGCACTTAAAGAGAAGCCGTGACTTTTGGCAACGAAGAAACTAAACAACCAAACAGGCAAGCAAAAAACAAACAATCCGACAGAGAAGTGACGGTTGGGCACTGGCAGTGCGAATGAGGGTGCAAGAAAAAAAAAAACGAAGAGTGTGGGAGAGACAGGGAAAACGGACGAAATGCCGGGGGCAGACGACTGGAGAAAAGAGACCAAGTGCCTGAAAAGCAACGCAGTCGCTGGGAGAGACCAGCGCGAGTGGCTTGTCTGGACGAATGCTGGGCGGGCTGGGCAACTGAGCCGGCTGCTGCGGTCTGCCGGGCGCGACTTTCAGCTGGCGCCTGGGTGCGTCCGAGGGGCAAGTCGAAAAAAAAAATTGGACGGTTCAACGACATGAAGCGTGGCTGCTTGGACGCCCGTGCTTGTGCTGTGCCGCACGGACGGATGCTGCGCCTGCGTGGCCTACCTGAGCTACTGCATCCTGGGCGGCAACACAGACCAGACAAACTGCACCTTGGGGGGTTTCTAGCGCCAGGCTTGGGGCGGGCGCATTTTGGCGCATGCTGGGCGCCTCCTCTGGTAACGTCGCATAGAGCCCTTTCCAAGTCACAGCCGCCGCGATCTGTACGTGGGAGTACCTTTCCGCAGGCATGTATCTCCTACACACAATGGCGGCCATGGTGCTAGCACCGACGCCGGCGAAGCACGATGCAAAACGTGAGCGACGAGCGCGACCGATGTCCCAATGCAGCACTTCGGAAGCCGGCCCCTGGTGGCTGTTGCCCAGTCGCACCAGACAGACAGTCGCCCACGCCATCAGACATCCGTAGCAACTTTACTCCTTTTTCTTTCCTTTACAGCTTGGTGTGCGTTTGACACCACACTAACTGCGCTCCTTCAGGCAAATCGCGACGCACAAAGAAACAAAAAGCAACACGGACTAAAGAACTAGATGGTCAGACTAGTGGGCGAGGCTAGAGAAAACTATGGGGGAAAATGGACATTGTGGTTATTGGCCTGTCTTGGCAGCCATCACCCGATTCATCGGCGTCCTCTGTGCCCTAGACGCCGGATTCACAGCCTGCCCGCAGGTACTTCCAGATCCGGATCGGCATGAACACTTCCCATAACGAGCAATGCGCGCTCTCCTGTCTTGGGCCTGGACGTCTGATTCCGTTGCTTTTCCACATCGACCGCTGCGCGCACGGCCCCAGAGCCCAGCGAAATGATGCCTCTAGCCGTAAACGGGATGTCAAACCCTGCGATGAACCCCTCTGTGCACAGCATTCTGCGAGCATCGAGAGAACTCATGCCCAGCCGCGCTAGCATTTCTTGCGGGCCAAATCTCCCCCTCTCTGGCTCGCTGCCAATTCATGCATGTGCTGTAGCGTCCGTCATCAACCACCAGTCAAAGTCCACATCACCCGGCCGGCATACCACCCGCAGGACCCCTGGCTCGATAGTTCCAAAATCGCTCAATATTTCACGGTGTTGAAATCGCCGATTGTTTCGTGGCAAGACAAGTCACCCATGCCCCGGCCCTGCACGGGCAGTGACGCTAGGAGAGGAGAGGGCTGAGAACCATCGTCGGAGCCAAGGAGAAAACATGACCAGCAGGTGTTCCCTGCCAGATTGAGACCCGGCTAGGATTCCTCAACCCAAGCAACTGGTACAGCCCGGCGGGGGGGTTTCTTGTCTTTTTTTTCGTTCTCTTTTTCCCTTTCTCCCCTGGCGGGGACAACGTTCCATCCGAACCGATACTGCTGTCACACAGGAAATGCTGCATGGTGTGACCCAACCAACACCAGACGGCGCCCGCTCCCCCAATTGATAGGCCAATGACGAGTGCCGTGGGCTGGTTTGTCCATCCAAGAGTCTGCCCCCCGGAGTCCCCGGTTCTGTAGCATTTCGTAATACAGAGACGGACGCCTGCCCAACCCTCCCACCGCCCTAAGCTTACCTGGGACTGGCGCTCAGCTGTGCACCCCATGTCAGCGCCGTTTGTGCTTCCTCTTGTTCTGGTTCCCCGCTCCTCTCGCTTCACCGCTTTGCTTCAGGCCGGCTGACTTGTCTTTTAGGGTGTCCTGCGCAAATTATCAACCCAACGAGCAGCAGTCCCAAGGAATCGATGAGAACCATGTCCTCTTATTTCGCTTGACTCAGCTGAGGGTGCGTGAGACTCGAGGTTCCCTTTTGTGAAAGGGCTGAAGCCTTGCCCGAGAACGAACCGGCTTGTAGTGACTGTGGACGCGTGGTCAGCCTGATGCAACCCTGATTGCCTAACCATCGGCTCTGTCGCCCGTGCACTAGCCGATTCTCCTGGAACGACGGGCGTGTGTGGCGTGTGTGATGAGCCAACGAGCAGATTCAACCAAGACAGTGGAGAAACCAACTAAGCTGGGGGAGTTGGTTGGCGCGCCACACTTCGTGTCCCAATTCAACGCAAGAAGTTCGCACTGTCCAGAAGTGGCGCCACACGTAAAAAAGCCTTGCCACCATGAGCGCCGTTGTAAGAATGAGAGAGGTCCAGAGCGAGATGATGGCATTTCGAACGTTTATGTGCAATATGACGGGCCATCCAAAAGGTGCTGCGTTTCTATGCTGTGTTGATGTTTCTACTCACCTCCTGTTTGCGTAGGAATTGATGTTGTGATATGATAACCATGGGCAACCAAATATGCTCCAATGGTAGTTTAGTCTGGATAAGGTCGATGTCCGCCACTATCTCCGCGCAGTGCAAGCGCGGTCATCGAGTTCTCTTTTTGTTTGGGGTGGAAAATCGGGACATTAGTGGCACAGAAATAAGCAAGTACACCGCCAGGCCATAGTAAGGATGGCGGGAAAGAGGATAAGGAGCGAGCCTACGAGACAGGCTAGCCTAGCGCCCTGAAGGCACTCGGGACCTGGATGGCTGGACGTGGAGAATCTGGGCCCGTCCGGCCCTGGCGGGACTTGGAGCCTCGTCGCCATTTTGATAAGGGGAGCGTGGAGCTTGGCAGCATTGTCAGAAGTGGTCTGTGGGCAGGCTCTGCCACCATATGTCGAGGCTGGCTTGCCTCACAACCTTGTCTCTCAGAAGCTGGCTGCATGGCGCGTTTGATGCCACGCATAGCCCTGGCACCTGGCGGCGATAAGTTGTAGGCGTCCTTGGTCGCTAGCCGGGGCGACATGTTGACTTTGGACGAGGCACCGATAATCTGACGTTCTCGATTGACTCGTCTGACGTCCGGCTGCCAGATATCAAGAAAAGGCATCAAAATGCGTCCATAATGGAACGGCAAAGCCGTGACAGGAACTGGTGTAGATCAACTAACTCAAGTCTGCAAGGGTCTATTCAAAAGTGAGAGCCTTGATAGGCAAAAAAAAAAGGCACAGGAAGCAGCTGGCGAGTTCGAACGCTCGCCGTGCCATGATTACGAGAAGCAGAATCAAAAGGCTCAGAACGGCCGGCCGGTCAGTCCTCGTCTAAAGCTCCCTCCTCCCTCTCTTGGGCATGTACCTGACCCAGGGGGCACAGTTGCCGGCGTCGTGGCTCGGCGGGTCCTTGGCGGGCACAAACTCGCCCGACTGGAGGCTCCCCTGGACGAAGAAGTGGTACCAGGCCTCCCGCAGGATGGTCCCGCGGCGGCCGCCGGCACAGCGCAGCACGACCTTGCCGCCGCCGACGTGGCGCTCGAGCGCGGCCTGCACGTCGACGAGCGGGTAGTGGGTGCGGCTGCTGGGAGTGATGCCGGCCTTCTGCAGCGCCGTGAAGGTGTCGAGCGACTTGAAGAGCGCGACGGCCCGCGTGAAGTAGTCCACCACGGCCAGCTCCCCGGGGTTCGCCGTGGCCGCGACGGCGCCCGACGCGGCGGCGGGGGAGTAGCACGACGCGGCCAGCGTGTTGATGCAAGTCCCGTGCTTGTTCCACTCGTGCTCCCACAGACCTTCGTTGCTTCCGCGGTTAGAGAGCCAATATCTATCCATAAATTCGACGAGCTCTGACTGGCCCTGCGCCTTGAGGATGGCGCTGATGTTCTTGTACTGGGGGACAAGGTTGCAGAACTGGTCGTATCCGCCATCGCAGAGGTCGGGCCTGTAAAACGGGAGTGCTTACATGTCAGTATTGCAAACACGCGAGCGAGAGGCAAATAGAGATAGTTCCAGACTTACCATAACCCATGAAGGGTCCAGTCCTCCTCGGCGCCGCCGGCGTGAACCTGGTCGTCCCAGAACTGGGTCAAAAGCATGCGCCCTCCCGGATGGATGAAGCAGCAGTCGCCCGCGATGGGCGTGCTGTTGTGGCAGCTAAGAGGTCCGTCGATAGGACATGCCGGCGCGCCGCTCAGCGGGATGTAGCACTGGCCGGACCGTCCCGCGGGTTCCAGGCCGACGGAGAAGGGGTTCGGGATTTCGTTGAGGCTGGCGGGAAGCTGGGCGAACAGGTTCCCGGCGTAGGCCAGAAACGCCTTGAGCGACTGTGGCGCCATTTGCGACGGCGCCCGGCGAGCAGAGAAATGACGTGCGTGTGCAGCCTTTCGGGCGGATCGAGATGCGGGTATGCTGTCGGGAAGTGTTGATGGAGGTCGATGCATGTGCTGACTGGCTTGGAGATGCTCCTGTTGGCAGCGAGTGTGTTTCCCCAGTGACGTTGGCGTTGCGCCGCTTCAGCTTGCCAGGGGTCGGCGACCCACCAAGTGTCGGTTGGGGTGTGGGGGCATGGTGGGACCGTGGGACTCTTCCGCAGCGGCCCCGCTAGACCTGAAATCAATTCCGTGGGACTCGCCTTACAGGAGTCTAGGATATTAAGCGTTAAAAGTGCGGAGACTCCTGTGTGCCCTCGATGGCTCTCCGGGAGGCGGGAAGCGGCGCAATGGTTGGATGGCATTCGTCCCCCCTCACGCACCACACATCGGCTATCACAGTGCCGTGATGTGAAGATGCCGCAAATTGCAAGTGGCAACCAGCCGTTTGATGCCGGGAGACGCGATGTCTCCCAACTGGGAACAGGTCTCCAGAAACTATCCCCGACGAGAGGCTCTGGCTGGCCGAGAGAAAGGGGATCGGCGGGCAGGATGCAAGTGGTGTTTGCGGGCATCGGAGTGCGAACTTGGCGATCTAGGTATTTACGAAGTCGGTATGAGATGGTACCAATGGATTAGGCAGGCACCTTGACGTGCTTGGAGGGCTGGCTCTTGTGGTGTCCACGCCCTCAAAATTGATGGAAAATATCTTTCCTCCCCAAAGGAAGGGGGCCCCTTCAAATCTTTTCCCAATTTATGATCAAAGGAGAAGGACAAAAAGGCAAAATGTCTCAACTCCCTATCCTTTCGTTTTCGTTGATGGAACTTCGCGCGCGTTCCGACTCCTTTCGGTGTCCTTCACCCGCTATCTCACACCATGGCCGCGCTCCGGGACGGCTTCTCGATGTATTTTCTAGCGGTGGTCTTCCTACTACTCGGTCTTACGCACTCCCAGGTCGAGGAGTTCCCGTCGGCCGACAACTTCCGCAGGAGGTCCTTCCACTCGGCCACCGTCTTGGGTGACAACCTTTATATATTGGGCGGCGGTGCATCCCAGATGTCGCCCCGTTTCTCGATACCCCCGAGTATGATGCCACCCACCCTGGCTCTCCATAGTGTTTCCACTGTCTGGTCGCTAACATTATCAACGCCACAACAGGCAACAAGACCCTCGTGATCCCACTGAACGAAGATTGGAATGCTCAAACCGTCAACAGCAAAGTTCAAATGATCGACAACCAGAAGGGTTTTAACATCATACGGCCCGCGCTGTGGCCAAACGGCCAGGAGAACAGGATTTACTCTTGGGGCGGAGGGGTTAGGGAGACCTACCCCTTGGCCAACGAGACTCTAACCAATCCAACACTGCGCGTCTTCGAGAAAGCCAGCCCTGATGGCCTGTATGGGACTTGGAGTAGCGACCGGACCCTGCCCGGAGATTCCAAGATAAAGTTCACGCAGGAAGGCAGCTGGACCAGCTGCAACGGGCTAGGGTTCGTGTTCGGCGGGCTGACAATGTTGAACGATGGTTCGAGGTGGAGAGGGACGGCCTCGCCGGGGCTCGTCATATACAACATGACGTCGCAAACCTGGAGGAATGAAAGCCAGGTAGCCAAAAAGGTTGGGCGAGGCCCTAACGCAGGAAACCACGCGCGTGGTAACGCCGTGTGCCTCCCGGAGATGGGCACCCAGGGCAAGGGCATCGTTGTCTTCATCGGTGGAGGCCGGCCGGACAATTCAGACGCCCGAGATATCGAGCCGGTCCCCATGGACACGGTGTACTTTTATGACATTGGCAGCAACGACCTGTACTCGCAAAAGACCACGAGCGAGATCTCGACGCCCGTGGCACGGCAGTACGCCTGCGCCGTCGCCGCGAAGTCTTCGAGCACCCCGTCGTACGAGATCTTCTTCTTCGGCGGCGATGGCGAGAAGCCCGCGACCACACACGTTCTCACCATTCCGGGGTTCAGGTGGTTCAACGCCGGGAACACGGGCGCCGACAACCCCCAAACTCGCAGCAACCACGCCTGTGTCGTCGGAGGGAAGAGGCAGATGATCTCTGTGGGCGGGACCCAGGTCGTTGGCGGTGGTGAGCAGTGGGTGGGAAAGGATCCATGGGTGAACGGGATAAAGGTGTTTGACATGGTAGATCTGAAATGGAGAAACGACTACAAATCGGGCGCGCCCGACTACGAGTCTCCGGCCATGATCAAGAAATGGTACAACGAAGGGTAAGTGTTGTCGCAACCGAGACCACGACTGTGTTTCCACTGCCCACGCTAACCACTGTAAACTAACCCACGGGAGCAGAAACGTCGCGGAGTGGGACAGCGATGCCGTGAAGAATCTCTTCACGGTGGCAGAAGCTACGCCCCCAAGCCCCCCGGGCCCCAACGTCGGCGCCATCGCCGGAGGCGTCGCGGCCGGCTGGATCGTGCTCACCGCGCTCGTGGACGGGCTGGTGTTCTGGTGCAACCAGCGTAGGCGCGGGCGCGCGGGCGAGGCCGCCAGGCTTCGGGACGACCAGGCCGAGGAGGGGGCGCGATGGGACTGCGACTCCTCGGCGACGCTGGTGAACGCCGGCCCCCCGGCCGAGGTCTACACCATGCCCACCGAGCTGCACAACGGCGTCGACCTTCCGCACGAGCTCCCTGCCAACCCACCAGGCAAGGGCCACTATTAGGAGGGGTAACGGCTCGTTTCTTTATTTCTTTCGTGGTCCCAGGATTTGGGTACAACGGAGTGGCAGGCCATCAAATAGGGATTAGATTTAGACTATCAATCAAGTGGCTTTTGGCTTTCGTTGCATGCCGAGGGAACAGCATATTGTATCACGCGCCCTGGGAGGCGGGCGTGGAGGTTCATGTCCAAATTCTTTTTCTTTTGATAGAACATCTTCAACGGCCGGGGCAGAATGTGCTGGTCTGTAATGTTCACTCTGGCCTTGGGAGCTATTGAATCCTTGTGCCGCGCATACCGCGGCGTCTCAAACAGCCTTTCTGTGCAACCGGATAATTGCGCTGGCAGGACACTAGATTCTAGAAACTCTGTGGCTGCTGTGGAACGACGCCTCCGTCATGTCACCGACATGTCGGGCGGTCGAGATCCCCACGAATGACATATTTTAGACCTATATCACGGGGAGGATGCTGTGCCATGGTGCTCAAAGCATAAAAACAGGCAGGAGTTGAGCAACGAGAGGTGCATGAATAGTCCGACGTGAAATAATCATTAATCGTTCATGAGTTAAGCCGTACAAGATATTAAAGTTGCGTCTCCGATATGCCGCCCATCATGCAAGTCATGCGATGATGGCCAACCCCGCCCCCGGGTTCTCCCCCAACGGTCGAGGCAGCGAGCGCCTTACAGGCCGCAGTCGCCGGCAGAGACCTGCTGGACGTCGGCCTCGACGCGGCCCAGGCCGATGGCCTGGCCGTTGGTCAGGGCGTTCATGGCGTCGAGGGCGATGTTGAAGCCCGAGGCGCGGTCGATGGCCAGGACGTTGATGGAGCGTCCGTTCCAGCTCAGTCTCCAGCAGGTGCCGCACTGTTTTTGGGGGTTGGGTTAGTCTCTTGTCTGTTCATGGTGGTCTCAAAAATTCAGACTGAATAACTTACGCCCGGAGAGTTCCAGCCGCCAACAGCGGGGGCGCCGCCAATGTAGGGGAAGCGGGGGATCTGGCCCTGAGTCTGCCAGCCGTAGCGGGTCATGAGGCCGTTCTGGCCGTCGGAGCAGCTGACGGCGGTCAGCGAGCGGCTGCCGTCGTCGAAGCCGGTGTCGTACGAGACCGAGACGGCCGAGGCGGCCGAGGTCAGGGCGAAGATGGAGAGGATGTTGGAGAACTGCATCTTGGTGGTTTGGATTAAGGAGGTAGGTAGTATTATGCGGTGGCGGTTGTTTATTATATTGGTGTTATTGTAGAGGGTCCTTGAACAAGCGAATGTGAGGATGGTGGTGAGGGTGGTGAGGAAAGAGGGACTCGAGAGGCAGTAGAGGAGAAGCCGCCTGGTCATCTTTATATCCAGTTCGTTGGTGACGGCAGCGGGCCCATGTCGTCGCTGCCCGCCCCTCATCGCCGAGCCGGCACGCTATCCATGGGAGAGTCCACAGTCGATCTGCTACGTCCCGTCGCGCGCCGCTCGTATGGGCCTACCAGAGTCGTTCACCCCCTTTTCGTGTATGCACCATGCCCCCGGTGCTGGGTTGCTACCTAGGTAGTACCTACCTATCTACCTACCTACCTGGACCCCTGCTCCGCTGGGTAAGCCTGCCATGGGCCCACCGCGCGCTCGGCGGGTGCCGAGCCCGTATTGGGCCGACATGCGATGCTTAGGTACGCTACATGGTGTCGTCACGAGATGCTCCCCCCGGACAGCGGAGATGGGACGACCTGTGCGCTGCGTTCGCTGTTGTGGCCGCCTTGTTTGCTTCCATTGTTTGGCTCCATCGTCGTGGTGTGGGTTGATCTTTCCGGGGCACGAAAACTGGGTTTTTTTTTCTCTCCCTCGTCCCGGGGCCAGTGAAGGAGCCGACAGTCCCCTGACCCTTGGGGGTGCCATTTGCGGGGACCGAGGTCAACCCAACCAGGTCTTTGACGGAGGATGTGGGACTGCAGACACGAAGATTTCCACACGGGAGGGAACCCCAACTGAACGGTCAACGGCTGTTGGGCAGCCCGATTCTGCAGGGAGGAACTGCTTGCCTGTCAGTAAGCTGCATGTCGCCGCCGTGTTCGCCGAGCTGTTCTTGCGCATGGAACCAGTGCCAGCCTGCACGTGGAACTCATGTTGACTCTTGAGTCTCTGGCAGAAAATACACGATAAACATTGAATTCAGCACGCAACAAAACGGCCGAGCGCCGGGGCAGGCAGTCAGCAGGCTAACGACTAGTGAAGGTGGATCAGTGATCTCGTATTCGCGGCTCTTGACGTGCCTAACCATGACAAATTTAGCGATCTTCCCCGCCCTGTGCAGTGACAAGGTCCCGCTGGAAATTGATAAATCATGCCGCCTTTTTAGCGCCGTTTATCACCGGTAAGCCATCCCCGGCCCGGCAATAGCATGAAACGTAACGTGCTTTTGGCTTTTACTGGACTGATGTGACCAGCCAAAAAGTGCCTCTCACCACCAGACATCTGCACTTGCTACAAGCGCATGTGAGGCTGGCCAATGGGTGCGTTCCCAGAGGCCATGGAACATCGATGCCATCGAGGACATGTCATGCTCCTACCCGTCACTAAGCAGCAGGTCGCGCTGTTTTTGGCATAGCGGTGCGGGTAGCCGCTGGCGGGTGCGCCACCACAACGCGCCAGACTCTCAAGAAAAAAAGAAGAAGAAAAGAAGAAAAAAATACAAGCCGCATGACGTCGACCGCTCGGACTTGTGGTATTCAGGTTCAGAGGCCGCATCATGGGGACGAGCTTGGTTCGCGTTCGCTTCGTCAAGCCTGAGTACCCCCCTGCCCCCAGGTCTTGGGCGATGTAACCTGCTCCCCCAGCGCCAGACGCAGGAGGGTGGTTTGGTACGTGGGGGCATTTGCCGACGGACTTTCCAATCTGGGCCGGTGATGCACGACCAAGGAGGACAAGAGTGTGGCACGGGGCGGGAGGGGCCGAAGCTCTCTGCCTTCTCGTGTTTGCCCTCATGGATGGAGCGTGTTTCTGGATACGAACGAGAGAGACTCGCGCTCACGGGAAGCTTCTGGTCTACTGAGCTCTTGTTATAGCATGGCCAAGTTTCCTATAGTCTATCTCAAAACAAACAAACGAGCTCTATTGGTCTAGGCGAATCCTTCCAGACTCTCGCATGCGTCGATCAGCGCGGCCCTGACTGCGCCGACGTTTGCCTCGGCAAAGATGTTGTAGTGGTGGCCGGGAATGTCGACGACATGGCGGAACAGGCCCGGTCGGTACTCGTCCCAGCCCAGCCTGTGGTCATCCCGCGCGACATCCACGCGCGCGACCTTCTCCTCCTCGACGGGGACAGACTCCTGCGCCCGGAGGAGGATGGCCGGGGGCGGCAGCAGCGGTGAGCCCGCGTCGGCGGCGGTTGTGGCCCCGCTCGGCACCCCCGGCCTCGACGTTTCGTCGTCACTCCACCGCGGCAGCGTCCACGTGTTGACCATGGCCGACGACTCGGCGAAGCACCTTCTGACCTTTTCTTTCGTGTCGGGCTTGGTCATGCTGCTAAAGGCGTGCTCCGTGGCCACGGCTATCTGCGCCGGGGACGCGGCCGCCTTGAACCCGTCCCCGTCGGCCTGTTGCTGCTGTCCTGCCGGCGCCGCGCGCAGGGCCAGGGGACACACGCTGTCGATCATGACGAGGCCGACGACGCGCAGCCACCGGTCGCCGGCCAGCAGGCGGGCCATCTCGAGCGAGAGCAGGCCGCCGAGCGACCAGCCGCCCAGGATGATGGGCCCCCTGCCGACGGCGTTGCGCAGCAGCGTGACGTAGTGGCGGGCCATCTCGGGCAGGCCGCCGGCCCAGGGCTCGCCCGTGTGGAAGCGCGGGTTCGCGACGGCCCAGATGGGGCGGCCGAGAGGCGGGTGCATGCAGTGGTAGCTGAAGGTGGTGCCGCCCCCGTCGTGGACGAGCACCAGCGGCGTGCGTGACGCCTCGGGGGTGGACTGGTCCGGATCCTCGATGAGGTCCGGGTTGGTATGCCACATGGCGCTGTCGTTGTTGTTCTCGTTGTTCTTGTTCTCGTTTTTGTTATTATGGTCTTGTCTTCGTGGTTGTGGATATGTTGCAAGATTGGCATGCGGGTGTAGAGTCTCATGCAACTCGTTATCGTCGCGCAGTGGCGGTCGTGTGGCCAATGGATGAATCAGAGACCAAATTTGCTATCACGGCGGTGCCAGCTTCCTTGCCCCCGCTTGCTCGTGTGTGTGCCGCCTAACTGGCTGCCAAGCGCTGGGTTGAGTGCTCGATGAGGAAAGGCTCAAACAAACTAGGGACAAGATCAAATGGCTCCAAGAAGGTACAGTGTCCACTAGTTATGTAGTTTGAGCAGAGAACTCGGTACAAACAGAAGACAGAAATAGCTAATGGCAGGCTTGTTTCGTCCCTGCCCCAGGTCATAGAGGCTTGTGGGCGAGTTGGCTGGTGGGTTGATGGGCTGGTGGGTTATGCTCGGCTGGCAATAAATGCATGCGATGCCAATTCATCCAAGATGTGCCACATCTCAATCTCACAGCACTGATCTCTCACACTTTCTCCGACATGCTTGGGTTCTCTCGGTGCAGACTGTTGTGCGTTAATCCCCCGAGCCCACCAGAGGTCGTAGCAGAATAACATGTAAACTTGATACCTATGATAGGTCTTCAGTCAACCTTCGTCTGTGTTGAACCCAACCGCCAGTTTGTGAGGACGGCGGCACCTTGAGGGTGGCCACTGCCTGCTGCTTTCTAATTGGATGGACCCTGCAGGGGCAGGCGCTGTCTGTGATGGCTTGCAGCGGGAAGCGCCGTCGAGGGAATTGGCAGGTAATTTAACGGTTTGGCAATTCGTTGAGCAAACAGAAGCTCGTACCGTCAGCCTCTGTCACCCAACCCCAATCGTTTCGAGATGGGCCGCAAAATACGTCTTCTTTTACGAGGCATCCCATGACTCCCTGACCTATCGCCAAACCCGATGCTCGAGGTTTCCCACCGCCGTCTAAAAGCCCCCTGAGGCGCCGCGTAGCCCCAACGCCCCAGCCCTACACTCGCTCGCTCTCCTAAACGTCGCCGCGCCCATGTCGACAAAGGGCCTCGCCAACTCCCGCTGGGCCCCATGCGCGCGGTCGAGGCCCGCTATTCGCCTTCACAAGGCCCTTCCGACCCCCGCCGCTTCCGAATCCTCGCCCTCCCCAACCAAACTCGATTACGCACAAGCGACCCAGACGACGGCCCTTCCCAGCCGCACCGCCTCGGAGCAGAGCCAGGATGCCGCGCGCGCCAGGGCCGAGCTGTCGCGCTACACGCGCATCGTGCGGCGGATGAAGTGGAAGCACCCCTTCCTCGACGAGGCCTACCGCCTGGCCACGGGCGCCGCCGACGACGTTGCCGAGGCCGAGCTCATGTTCAAGCTGGACTTCCACGAGTACTACGGGATGCTGGAGCGGGCCCTCGTGCATCTGCAGCTCGTCTTCGGCATCGTAATATCCGGCCAGCACAGGGACCTGCCCGGGCGGCCGAAGGCGGTGGGCGAGGGAGAGGAGGGACCGGCGGCGGCGGCGGCGGCAGGGGCTGCGAAGAGGCCCAGGAGGTACGCCCACAGTTACCACGCCAACGTCCTGGCCTCCCTGGATAGCCCCGCGAACCCGCTGCACGGCGCCCTGGGCGGGCCAGACGTGCGGAGGGCCCTGGGTCGCGCCAAGGACCTGCGCAACCGCTGGAAGAATGCGGATGAGGCGGTTGGGGCTGGCGACGGGGCGGACCGGACGGCTGCCGTCTCGGCGGCGACGGTCACGGTGCTGCCCAACGGCAAGCACGTTGCGCACCTGCCGCTCGAGAGTTACGACCTCTCCAACATCCTGGGGGTCGTCCACGATGCTCTCGATCGCGCCTACCTCGTAGCGGACGACTACCTGCAGTTCCTGCTCGCCCAGGCTGCTGCTGTCGCCGGGGCGGGGCCGGACGGACAGCGGCTCGCCGACGCCGACTTGGCTGAGCCTACTGAGGAAGACCAGTGGGAATTCTTCGTGGATGCCATGGATTGGGAGGCTATTTGAACCCCTTCCATGCCCGCCTCTCCCTCGGGTAGCACATACTTAATGTCGAAGCCTTATCGCTTCATTCTGTTTTGGATTATCAAACCACAACTGTCCTCTCGGCCCCGTCTCGCAAAGGATAGATAGAATTTGTATTGGAGAACAGCATAGATAGATACCCAAATTATAGATGAGAACAATCACCCATTTGCGAGAGTGCATGCAACGCCTCGGGCCGCATTCTAATTGCGATATTGGATTCATTGGCGACTCCCTGTCAAATTGATCATGCCAGGTAGCGTGTGTTGATGAGACGGAGGCCTACCCCCGCAGGACTGCCATGTTCATCAACACATTCGACCTAGACATGGAACACTAACATGATATGTGCCTGCCAGGGACATAGCAAGATGGTATTACTCGACTTTTTATATGCACATTATATACCTGCAGCCGGTGCCCAAGGGAGAGAAACTGGAGTGAAAGAATAGGATTGGTGGAAAGCTGTGATGGTGGGCTTTTCGGAGCTGCTGCTGAGATGGTTGCTGTCGAGCTAGACAAAAAAAGCACGTCGAGAGGTTGCGAAGAGGCAGGCATTTATAGCTCCCGAGAGGCCATTACCGATCCCAAAGGCCGCGATACTGGCAACACCACGAAACGGCCCAGACCGTTGGGTTTCTCAAGACCCCTTGCCTTCCCCCGCTTCCCCCGCTGCCACCACTGGGAACACCAGATGACGGATCACAAAAGGAGGCGTCGGGCTGGGGACAGCGGCTGCCGGCCGGTGCGAAGGATTGGAAATCCCAAAAATCAACCACCAAGCTTTTCCCAGATACCCAGCTCTGGCCTACCAGATCTGCCAGAAGCCGACGTGCGTCTGCAAGGCCAGACGGCGGCAAAAGAAAGAGAAAAAAAAGCTCCGACGGCTAGGATGGCAGGGCGAGTTCGGCTGCCTGCAGTACCTGCCCTACGTGCATACCGTAGGCAGGTGCTATGCATGTAAAGCGTGTGATGAGAGAAAATTCATTGATCTTGCCGTAAAGGGCACAAACGAGCGTAAAGAAGGTTCGCGACGTCCATGTCCGGACGGTTCCGAGGCCAGGCGGGGTCGTTCGCTCTCGCTGCGTTGCTCCCTTTTCGGTGTCGTCGTTCCACACTCGGGATGACGGAAGCACCACATGCGTCCCATCGATTGTTGGGCCCGACGTTGTCTGGCCTATTTGGTGCAAGTTGACGGAACCGCCACAGCCCCCAATGAAACTGCTTTGTCCAAAGTGCCAGCGAGCCCTGAGCTGTCAGAGAACAAAGCATACCCCGAGCTTTGCCCGCTGCGCTCGCAGCCCGAGTCGCAATGATAGGCTTTGGCCAGGAGACCGGGAGGAAAGTTCCAGGCTCTGGCGGTTTGGGATTCGTTTCGTCGACATCGAATGACCGAGGCCGAGCGCGAAAAGCAGAGACGGCACGAACGGCAGCCAGAGCCGTCATTGGCTGGCAGACTGACAGACACTGTCACTTGTTCAGCAGGATCGATAGCCTCGACCTTTTGATCTTGTGTTTGTGTTCATGATTCATTGCTGGCTGGGGAAGGGACAGTAAGAGATGATATACAATCCCGCACATCAAAGAAAATAGAACAGGCCACATGGAAAATGTGAGATGCCAGAAAACGGCAGACTCGGACGAGGCGGCCGACAAGAAACCGACGGAAAACCGAAACCCCTTCCGCCTAGAAAACAAAACACTAACTCCAGCTGAAGCCATCGAGCCCGACTACAGCTTTGCTTGTCCAGTCGTCATCCCTTGCTGGTGGGATGCCAGGTCGAGAACATGCCAATGAAACCCCGTTTAACCAGAACTCGAGCTCGCCGACTCGCAGGCACCGCTTGTTTTACCCCCTTGAGAAATCATATACCTAATCAGGTGCCCGGATATGTGGTGAATATGCACGATCATGGAAACCTTGCGTGGCTCGGGCTCAACACCCCCCGCATGGCGCTCGTTGTGTGGTGCAGACACGTCTACGTAGAGTCTCGGTGGTCCCGCAGCTTCTTTGTTGACTTGGCCGTGCCAATGTGTGTGTTGTGGACTGGCGGCGGTTGTCAGCAGTGCCCGAGGAAAGAGGGGCGTTGAGCAGGACAGCAAGTAGCATGGAAAACTTACCCTTGGTCGCGAACCGCAAGCTCGTGATGGTCTCCTTCAAGTGCGCCTCGAGCGGGCTGACCATGACAAACATGAGAGTCTTGGAGTTGCCACCAAGCGAGTATTGCAGCAGGTGCGTCAGCTTGGAGTTGCGGTACGGGACGTGGCCCTGCCCCTTGCCTAACGCCTCGATGACGTCGCCGAGGCACGACAGCGACTTGTTGATGTTCTGCGTCTCGCGCATCCGGTCGCCCTCGACCTGCGAGTGCTTCAGCCGCTCCGAGCCTGCCAGATCCACCAGGTTCAGCGTGCCCTCGCACCGCTCTCCCGTCGCTGCGTTCTCGCCCACGAGCTTCAGGACGAAGACCGAGTGCGACCGCGATGACCTCTCGTTGGCCTTGGTCGCTGCCACTGAGCGGTTGCTCTGTGCCTCCTCTAGCATCTGCTCTACGCGCCCGGCCGAGTCGAGCGGGACGGTGCGGCAGTTAACCACCGTAGTCTGCTTTCGGACATCGTCGTGCTGGATACTGAGCTTTCTCCGAACGCCCTCGGCCGCCAAAAGGTCGTGAAGCTCCTCGTTGTACACCTCAATGAACGACCCGACCATTTGGTAGCTCCAGGACTTGTCTCTGAGCCGCTCCGCCTCGTCGTAGATCATGTGAACGGCCCTCGGGATCATGCCGTCGGCGCTGGACATGGTGAAGGTCTTGCCCGACCCTGTCTGACCGTAGCAGAATATGCATACGTTGTAGCCGTCCAGCGCGCTCTGCACCAGCTGCGAGATCTCTCCGAAGATCTCCTCGTTCTGCGTCTGGGGCGTGAAGACGCGGTCGAACTCGAATGGCATCGTCTTGCGGCTGATGTTGCCCGTGGCGCTGCGTTCCTCGGGACCTGTGACGTCGAGCTGGGCCGACGTCTTGAGGTCAGGGAAGTCAAGGGTGGCGGCCGCGCCCTCGGAGGGGCCGAGAACGGGGCGCACTCTGCACATGACACGGATATTGCCCTTGAGCTCCTGGTACTTGTTGAAGAGAACCCGGCGCTCCGTCTCCTCCTTGATGAGCTTCTCGCGAGCCGTCTCGGCGATGTCGAGCGCCTCCTGGAGGCGGGCTTCCATCTCGCTGAACGAGTCGGATTGCTGCTGGTTGCTGGACTCGAGAAACCTGACCTTGCCCGTGAGCTGCTGGATCTGGGCCTCAAGCGTCAGGTTTGCCGTCGTCATCTCGATGACCGCCTTCTGGACGCCGTCCTTGAGAGTGACTTCGCGGTCGAGATCCCCCTTTAACCTCTCGATCTGGGAGCGCATCTCGTCAATGTCCCGGTCTTTCTCGTGCATTGCTCGGCTGGCCTCTTGTTGCTTCGAGCCGAGCTGCGAGCGTATCTCGCCCATCTGTCTTTCGTTTCGTGCCCTCTCCTCCTCCAGCTGTGCCCGGAACCGACGCTCCGCTGCCTCGACAGCCTCGCTTTCCCTCCGCTGTGCTCTGGTCATCTGGTCCTCGACTTCCCTCCGAAGCCTCTCGAGCTCGTGCTGGTGGTCTCGTGCCTGGCCATCCAGTTCGAACTTGTGGCTGCGCCGCTCCGTCTCGAGATCTAGGGTTAGTGTCTGGACCTGGTGTCGTAGCCCGGCAAGCTCGGCGTCGAGCTTTTCTCTCTCTTTTTCCAGGCCTTCTGCCTTGCTGGTGGCTAGCTCGACTACCTGCTCCATGGCCTTCCTCTCGTTCATGGATAGATTCATGACATCCTTCATGGCCTTCCATTGCGATTCGACTTCGTTCAACCTCTCATCAACGTCCCATGCTTTGAACTCGAAATTTCTAACGTTAGTTTCTTTTGAAAGGAAGGTCGGACGACATTTGCTAGGAGAGCTGGCCACGAGGGTCCCATTTTGGTGCTTCAGCGCTTTGATGGAGTTCTCGAACATCTCCGCCTTGGCGTCAAAGGACTGGCGAGTACAGGTGGGTGTCTTTGGCGGCGCGGGCGGGGACGGCGCAACTGAGCGCGTGTCCTCTGCGACTCGAACCGGCGAGACCGGCTGACGAGCCTGTGTGCTCCGGCTGCACTTTTGCCGCACAGTGACGTTCCCGAGGATGCCGTCTAACGGCTCCTTGGGGCCCGGGGTGGACGGGCCGGTCGTCAAGTTAGAGACCGCTTGATCTCCGTAGCCGCTTATGGACGCATCCATCTCCTCGTTGTTGCCGATACGCAAACGCTTCACCCCGTCGACGAGGGACTTGAGAGAGCTTTCTCTATTTTTCCGCCTAGCTGTTGAGCGGCCAGGGAGTGACTGCGTCGACTTGGCCTCCCGCAACTTGCTTGGCTGTAGGGGCCCGATGCTTGGCTGTTGAGATTGACTAGAGAAAATTAGCGTATCCTTCATACCGTTTTGTTGGCTCGAGGCGGCCAGTGGCGCCTCCTCGATGTCCCCATAAGCTCCGAAAGCAGTGGCCGGACGTGTCCGAGCAGCGCCTCGGGACGCGCCGCTGATCGATTTCGCGAAGGAAGAGGGTGGTTGGCGAGCAGCCGCGGCAGTGGGTGGGCGTGCGCCCGGGCCGACACTGAAGGCGTAGCTATTTTTGGGTGGTTGTCTCGAGGCTGCGCTGGCTGTGGGTGCCTTGGTCGCAAGCGAGCTCATGCCGGCGGCAGATGGCGGTCGTATCTAGGGGGCGCACCAGTCAGCGCCGCGAACATGGGAAGAATCATTGGGATAGGGAGGCAGGTGCATAAGACGAAGGCATACTCCTGATAGGCCAACGATTGATGTGGCCTTGACGTGTCCTCTCGGAGCGGGAGTGGCTGACACGCTCGGTTTGGCTGCATAGCACTCTCCTCCCCTCTCAGCGAGGGTCTTGCGCTGCTTCGCATCTGGTTGGGGGACTGTTTGGGCGACGGCGAGAGTTAGCGGAGGCGCGGCAACCGTTGCGCCAGCAAGAGACAGACGACTAACATTCGCTGTTTATCCGCTTGCTCCCCAAGTTGACCTGGGGTGGGGGCAGCATCGTTGATTTGGCGGCAGCGCGGGCGTTGCTTTGGGATTCGGATATCTCGTGCAGCCCGAACGCTCGGCTTGGAGGCCGGAGACCTGAGGGGCGGTGAGCCTGGAGGGGTAGTCGCGGCCGCTTCGGTCAGTATTGCATGCGACCGTGGTCGGCGACGGCGACGAGGACGACGACAAACAGGGGCTGCGGGCGGGTGGATGCGCGTCTGCGGCAGCATGGGGGTCGCGGCACTAGGCAGTACATACCGTGGTCTCGACGGTGGTTTCCATGTCTAGAGCGCGAAAGCGCTGGATCAGCTGATGATAGACCGCAAAGCTTGAAGCAAGGAGCAGCGCTCCCGACGTGAGGGGGGCTGGAGGACTCGTGGTGACGGAGGCTTCGCCTGGCTTCGCGCAGCGGACGGGTTTGGGAAGGGCATCGGGGGAGGACACCCAGATATTGCTGCTAAGTTGCGCTCGGGTGCCATGGGTCTGTCGCCTGTGCTCAACTGTGATGCGGAGAAGGACGCTGAGCCGCCAATCCCGCTATTTGTTTACGCTTGGTTGCGGGCGCAACACACAGCCGCCCTGGCCACTCAGCGCAGCTCTGGTGGAGCCCGTCGTTGCGAGGCGGGACAGCAGCTCATTCTCCATTCTCAGCCGTGCACGGACGCCTCCCAACGTCAGAATCTTGGCCCCCACTCCGCCGGCTTGAATCGAGGCAGCCACATGCGATCGAGTGCGGGTGTGACCTCTAGCTGCATCGATCTCCTTTCACATGCCTCCCGCCCATCCGTTTTTTTTTCTTGTTCCCACCAAGCCCGCAGGCGTGGCCTGACAAAGGAGCGGGAGCAGCGCCTAGGAAATCCATTAGCTCAGTAGCATGTTCTAAGTCAGCTGGCTCCCATCCCTCGACACCGACACCTCGACACTCGCGCATATTCGCCCAAGGCTTCACGCCACGCCCGTCGCCGGCGTCCAACAAAGCACCCCCTCCAAGCATAGCACTTTAGTACCAAAGCTAGAGACGGTCTCTAGCCCCTCGATACCTGCTGCCGGCAAGCTCCCTACCTAAGGCAGCACAGCATATATTGCGCCTCGACGCCTGTTCGGTTCTCCTCCCCCAACCTTTGCACATCTCAAGCCACCCGCACACAACCGGCCCGACAGTTTGGAAGCCCCTGGCTTGCGCAAAGTCAAACTTCCAACGCTCCCTCTCCCGACAGCCCCAGCCGGCTCGATCTAGACCATCCAGAGTCGCTCGAACGCACATCGCCTCCCTAGGACAAACATCTAAGAAGCCGCCGCTATGGAGAAATTCTCCCAGTTCCGGGACCGAGGTCAGTACTTGCGTGCCGCTCTCTAGGAACCCGCGCCGTTACCGAGGCTGACGACCCCTTTCACGGAAACTCTAGGCTCCGGTATCTCCCCGTTCTTGCCCATATCGACGCCATCGGGCAGCTACCTGTGGCTGGCAGCCCATGCCACGCTCTTCTTTGTGCGCTTGCCCATCTTCCTGAGCTATGTCATATTTTACCTCGTTGTCCTGCACAATCTGCCCTTCCCCACGGGCATGCGCAAGCTTTTGCTCTGGGGAACGATGGCAATACCAGGCATATGGTGGGTAGACTTGCAGCTCGACGGCGTCAAGCGCGGCCACGTCGCTCAGCAGTCCAGCCGCCTCCCGCGCGGGCCGTCGGTCATTGCCGCCAACTTCACCTCGCCGATTGACCCGCTCTACCTTGCCGCCGTTTTCGATCCCATCTTCACCATCTCATACCCAAACACCCGCAAAGTGCGCCACGTCTCGCTACTCCGCATAGTCCTGTACGCCCTCAGCCCCGCGCAGGTGCGCGAGGAGAATCAAGCCGGTCTCGTTGACCTCGCCGCCCTTATGCGCCGCTACCCAGACCGGACCGTCATCGTCTTCCCCGAGTGCGGCACCACCAATGGCAGGGGCATCCTCCCCCTGGCGCCCAGCCTCGCCGCCGTCCCCGCCGACACGGGCATCTACCCGGTCAGCATCCGCTACACGGCCCCGGACATTACGACACCCGTCCCAGGCATGTGGCTGTCCTTCTTCTGGGGACTCCTGAGCAGGCCTACGCACTGCATCCGCGTTAGAATCGCCGAGGTCCTGTACAATGACGCCGCGGCGACGATCAGTGGGAACAGGGGCAACGCCGGCGAGTCCTCGTCGGCGCACGGCGCCGTTTTGGACGGCGTAGACCTCACGGCCGAGGAGCAGCGCAATCTCGATAGGGTCGCAGAGGCGCTCGCGCGTCTGGGCCGCAACAAGCGCGTCGGCCTGACCCTGAAGGACAAGGCCGCGTTCGTGGCGCTGTGGCAAAAGTCCCGGCGCTGGTTTTGACGGTTGTGCCTCCCAGGGTGGGCGTCTCCTGTACTGGGCGGCCTGATGCTTCTTATGTTCTGTTGTTGGCATTTTGCTTTGCGTTAGGTTAGCCATCCTTTCTTTTCGGCTAGGAAAAGTGCACTGCGTGGAATCCCCGTCGGAATGACGTCTCCAGAAACAAGATCATTGTTTCTCTGTAGAATCTGGCTGGCATTCACTCAATCATACGATGGGTGGGGGTTGGTGGGAGGTTCTGCATTTGTTCAACAAAAATAGGGGGGTACCTGGTCTACTAGGGTGGCACGGCGCGGTCAAGTCGAGTGCGAGTAGTTTTGTTTTTGTCGTAGCTGAAAACAATAACAAAATCAAAAAAAAAAAAAAAGAAATGCTTCGCTCCAAAATTTCCCCCGATCCGCCAGAGACCAAAAACTGAGAGAACGAAACCCAAAGATGGTATAAGCCCATTAACCTAGTTCCAAACAGCAAACATCACGCGCCACCGTCCGTCACGCAGCCGTGGCTGGCGTCGCTCACGAGGGACGCGTACTTTTTCAGGGTGCCCTTGTCGGCCCTGGACGGGGGCGCGCGCCACTCGGCCTTGCGCCTGGCCATCTCGTCGGGCGAGACGTCGGTGTCGATGACGCGCTGCTCGGCGTCGATGGTGATGGTGTCGCCGTCGCGGACGAGGGCGATGGGCCCGCCCTCCATGGCCTCGGGTACGATGTGGCCGATGAGGAAGCCGTGGCTGCCGCCCGAGAAGCGGCCGTCGGTCAGCAGGGCCACGTCCTTGCCGAGGCCGGCGCCCATGATGGCGGAGCTCGGCTTGAGCATCTCGGGCATGCCGGGCCCGCCCTTGGGGCCCTCGTAGCGGATGATGACGACCGTCTTCTCGCCCGGCCGGATCTCGCCGCGCTCGAGCGACTCGATGAAGGCGTCCTCGTATTCGTAGCAGCGCGCCTTGCCCTGGAACCGCAACCCCTCCTTGCCCGTGATCTTGCCGACGGAGCCGCCGGGGGCGAGGTCGCCGTACAGGATCTGTATGTGGCCCGTGGGCTTGAGCGGGTTGCTGAGCGGGCGGATGATGGGCTGGTCCTCGGGGAAGCCGGGGAGCTTCTCGAGGTTCTCCTTCATGGTCTTGCCCGTAACCGTCATGCCGGAGCCGTCGATAAGACCCTCCTTGACGAGGAACTTGAGCAGGGCCGGGGTGCCGCCGATCTTGTACACGTCCTCCATGACGTACTTGCCCGAGGGCTTGAGGTCGGCCAGCAGCGGGGTCCGGTCCGAAACGGCCTGGAAGTCGTCGATGGTTAGCTTGATGCCGACCGAGTCGGCGATGGCGATCAGGTGGAGCACGGCGTTGGTGCTGCCGCCCAGGACGTTGACGACAATCATGGCGTTCTCAAAGGCCTGGCGGGTCATGATGTCCCTAGGGCGGAGGTCGAGGCGGAGCAGGTTCTTGACGGCCTCGCCGACCTGGGCGCACTCGGACACCTTGCTCTGGTCCTCGGCCGGGTTACTGCTGCTCCCTGGCAGGCTCATGCCGAGCGTCTCGATGGCGGAGGCGAGGGTGTTGGCCGTGTACATGCCGCCGCAGGCGCCGCCGCCGGGGCAGGCGTTGCGGATGATGTCGAAGCGCTCCTCCTCGGTGATCTCGCCCGTCAGGTACTGGCCGTAGGCCTGGAAGGCGCTGACGATGTCGATGGGCTCGCCCTTCATGCTGCAGCCGGGCTTGATGGTGCCGCCGTAGACGATGAGGCTGGGGCGGTTGACGCGGCCGAGGGCGATGAGGACGCCCGGCATGTTCTTGTCGCAGCCGGGGATGGAGACGTTTGCGTCGTACCACTGGCCCTGCATGACCGTCTCGATGCTGTCGGCGATGATCTCGCGGCTCTGCAGCGAGTAGCGCATGCCCGTGGTGCCCATGCTGATGCCGTCCGACACGCCGATGGTGTTGAAGCGCATGGGCACCAGCCCGGCCGCGGCCACGGACTCGCGTATCTTCTGCGACAGCTCGAGGATGTGCATGTTGCACGGGTTGCCCTCGTACCAGACCGACGAGATGCCGACCTGCGGCTTCGCCATGTCATCCTTGGTCAGGCCCGTGGCGTACAGCATGGCCTGCGACGCGCCCTGCGACTTGTGCTGCGTGATCTTGGACGACGTCCTGTTGAGCCTCTCGGCCTCTTGGACGCGGCGGTGGGCGCTGGTCGAGAAGAGGGAGCTCCGGGCGGCGGCGAGAGGGCGGCTCTGGGCCAGGGTCCGGGGAGCCCTGGCCCGTAGGAGGGCGGCAGAGAACATGGCGGCGGCGGCGGCGGCGGGCAGGAGGCGTGGCACGATCGGGGAGGAGACGGAGGGCTTGAACGGGTCAATTGGGTGGCTATCTCGACATGGCTTTGGCCACAGGATGTCCAGACCGACACAGGATGAGTCAATTGATCGGGGACTCGAGCTGGTGTCTGCAGATCAGATCACAGGGACAGTCACAGGGACACGGGCACTGACAGAGTCGTGAGCTTGAAGCTAAGCTCTCCCTGCCCGCACACTTTTTTTGCGTCGCCGATTCCGGCGCTGTGTGCTTTACTACGGCCACCCCGCAGCCTGGATTCCTGGCCAACCAGGAGCGGGGAATTACAACAAGAGGTCCCAGGTCCTGCCTGAGTGAGCAGCTGTGCCGAGTTCGGGCTCTCTGAGGGCGACTTGGTTCCCAATAAAGCTGCGGATGGGGGCTCCTTTTCCTGACTGGTTGCAGTTTCAGGCCACCGCCGCCGCCGCTGTGAAGTCTCCCACGAACCATGCGGCTTGGCAATGATGTCGGCGGGGACACGCCACTAGCCTCGACTATTATTGAGCAGCTTACCCATCTGTTAAATGGCCCATACTTTTCATCTAACATGTTTTCTTTTCTCGTCCGTGTAAACGATTGTAGTTGGTAGAACAATCCCGTTGATAGCATTACATCAAACCACAATGTCAGAGGGCGACGCGAGCAAAGTCTTCAATGTTGGAGTGGTGGGCTATGGGTGAGTGCATTCGCGTTGGGCATTTATCATATCCTGCCCCGAGACAGACGCTGATGGGCTGTGATGACAGCATGTCCGCCAAGGTCTTCCACATCCCTTTCATCAAGCTCACAGATGGCTTGACTCTCCACTCCATTGTACAGCGGTCCCCCTCGGACGCCAACTCGGCACCGAAGGACCACCCTTCGATCAAGCACCAGACCTCGGTAGACGCCCTCCTGGCCGACCCCGAGGTTGACATGGTCGTCATCACCACCACCCCCGACTCTCACCACGCCATCACCAAGCAGGCCCTGGAGGCCGGCAAGCACGTCCTGGTCGAGAAGCCGTTCGTGCCGGCGTCGGCGCTGGCCGACGAGCTGGCCACCCTGGCTAGCCAGCGCGGGCTTGTGCTTTGCGTTTACCAGAACCGGCGCTGGGACGCCGACTTCACGACGCTCAAGAAGCTCATCGACGACGGCGAGCTCGGCCGGGTCTACGAGCTCAACACCCACTTTGACCGCCACCGGGCCGCCCGCCCCACCAACTGGAAGGCTAGCCTGCCCATGGACCGGGGCGGCGGCGTCGTCTTCGACCTCGGCACCCACCTGCTGGACCAGGTCTACGTGCTCTTCGGCAAGCCCTCGGCCGTGAGCGCAAAGTTCGTCAGCCAGCGCGACGGCCGCATCGTGTCGGGCGCCGGCGGGCTCGACGACGAGCCCGACAGCATCGACGCGCTGCTCACGTACGCGGACGCGGGGGTGCTGGTCCATGTGCGCGCGGGCGTTCTGAGCGCCGAGGTCGACCAGCCTCGCTTCTGGGCCCGCGGAAGCCGCGGGACCTACCGCAAGACAGGACTCGACCGCCAGGAGGACCAGCTCAAGGCCGGCATGGTCGGGACCGAGGCCGACTTTGGCAGGGACCCGGCGTCGTGCCCGGCCGGCCGCCTCGCCCGCGTCGCCGACGACGGCTCCGTGTCTGAGGTCGACTGGCCCAACACCGAGCCGCCCCCGACCTACTTCGAGTTCTACCGCCGCCTGGCCGCGGCGCTACGGACCGGCAGGGAGGAGGACGTGCCCGTACCCGCGGGCCAGGCCGCCGACGTCCTTCGCATCATCGAGGCGATGCGGGAGAGTGCCAAGACCGGGAGGGATGTTGCGCCTGCTTGATGCTTTGCTATTAGGTTGTATCGGGGATCTTTCCGGTTGATATTTCTCCTCGGCGCGAGATATCCGACGGGAAATCACCCCTGTTACCACTCAGGGTGCATTGGCCAACCCCAACTGTCCAAAATGAGACGTTTCTCATCCCCAACGCTCCGCCCAAAAACAACTCTACCCTTACACAGCCAGACAATGTCTCGGATGTCTTTTTTTTTGCGCTCAGGATTAAGGTATCAATCCAGCCACGCCAGCAGGGGGATTTCACTTGTGGCAATTGTCGCAGCGCACGGCTCGCACATTTGGAAGAGACTGATTCGGCGTCGCTATTAAAAGCAACGGCCAAAAACAGAAACGGAAGACAAAATAACAGAGGCAATTGCCCAAAAGGGAAAGTTGGGTGTGGCTTTCTTTGGGTGCGCCCATTTGGTCTGCAAGTTCATTTATGGATGGGAAAGCAGGATTGCATAAATGTCCTGTTTTTTTTCTTTATATTTCCATTTCTGACGACGAAAACCCCTTCGGTAGTCCGCAGAGGCCACCGAACTTGGGTGCTAAAATGGGTATATAGCAGCGCACATGGCTGTGCTTTGCAACAAACTAGACCCGGGCCTAGAAGCCCTGTTGTTTAAAACTACGCAAACGCTCTGCATTTCCATCTCGCGGGGACCTTCACGGAGCGGCAGCACAGGCCGCGTCCCACTGGGCGCTGGGGGAGCAGGCCTCCCCTTCGGACAGGGCCCTGCTCGCCAGGCTCAGGCCCGAGATCTTGATGACGTCCGGGTCCACTTCAACAGAGACCGAAGTGACGGTCTCGCACTGGATCGTCATGGCGGGGGCGCTTCCCTGTCGCCGCCAGGTGCGTCATGCCGCCTGTTCTGCTGCCTGTGGCTCCTTTTAGGTTCCGACGGCCCGCCGGTATGAGGGTCCCTGCTGCTGCCGCTGCTACCCCACCACCACCACCACCACCACCATCACCGCTGTCGTATACAGGCGTGGCGAAGATGGCCACCGCAGGGGCCGCAGCGGCAGCAGCGTCCGGCGCCGTCGCGCCCACGCCCACGCCCACGCCCACGCCCGCGCCCGCGCCCGCCCCGCCCCTCACGTAGACGACGTTGCCGAGCTTGCGACCGGGCGGCGTGCGCATGAAGTTGAAGGTGAAGAGGCCCAGGTCCTGGCTGGGCGGGCGGGCGCCCGGCGAGAAGACGATGGCGCGGCGGGTCCACGAGTACAGCAGCACGTCCAGGAAGCCGCCCAGGGTGATGACGGCGCCCGCAAAGGTGAAGTAGGCGAGCGGCACGCCCGTCTTGCCGATGCTGCGCGCCCGCGCCAGCGCCAGCGGCGCCGTGCAGAGCACGTAGATGACGGGGTACAGCAGGGACGTACGGTGCCGCCAGCCCTCCTCCTACTGCTGCTGTTGCTGCTGCTGCTCGGCTTCCGGGGCGGGCGGCGGCGGGGCGCTGGGCTTCGTGGCTGTGGTGCCGCCGTCGCTGTCGGTCGCGGACGTGAGGGCCGTGGGCTGTCGGAGGGGCTGTGCGCTGGGCCGCCTGCCCGGGTTATGATGGCCTTCGGTCGTCCGTGGCACGCGGCGGAAGCTGGATGTCTTGAGTCGGTTTCAGTGGATGTGCGGATATGCAAAGATGTAGATGTATATTGCGGTCGTGATCGCCATTAATGTAAATATCCAGGCATAATGTAGGTCAAGCCGCAAGTCGTCGTAGGCCGTATTGACCCAGCACCGCGAGAGACGGAGGAGATGGTTGGTGGATGCAGTGACTTGTATCAGCGACGGAGTGAGAATAGTTATAATTCAGAGGGGAAAAAAAAAAGGGGGGGGGGGAAGGGGGAAGGGGAAGGGG